ACATGGAGAAGACACACTTAGGGGAGAGAGAGGAGCTGCTGGCACTGCTGGCAGGCACTGCTGGCAAGGGATTCTGTGCCTGGCCCTTCTTTTTTTTAGACTTTGAGAGAGAGAGGGAGAGAGAATGAACTGGGGGAAGGGCAGTCAGAGGGAGAAGCAGAACCTCCTCCCCTCCACCATGCTGAGCAGGGAGCCCAAAGTGCGACTCCATCCCAGGACCCCAGGATCCTGACCTGAGCCCAAGGCAGACTTTCACCCGAGACCTGAGGCACCCCCCTTATTTTCATTATTGATGTCCCCTCCCAGAGCCCCATGAGGCAGACATGTGTGCAGGACACTACAGCAGGGGATGAGGGGTCCGCCAGAGCCTGTATCTGGGACCCTCTTGAATGAAAGCCCTGTGAAGGCAGGGCTGTGCTATGGCTGGCTTTGCCCTGCAGCCAGGGATCATGCCTGGTGCACAGGAGCTAGATATACTTGAGGGAATGTTTGCCCTTCATGTCACCTTCTGCCTCCCCTGGCATGCTGCCCATCTGTCTGCCCCATCATCAGGCTCTGCTACCTTTGGGGCCCAACACCCTCCCCACTGTAGTTCCCCCACTTGGTTGGCACTTGCTGCTTGTTGAAAGTCCCTTGGTCGGTGCCAGGCAGCCCAGAGCCAAACCTGGGCCAGCATGTTCATATGTCTGGTCAGTCTGAGCAACTGAAGACTGATTGTGGCTGATGGAGCCACAAATGACCAAACACTGGGAAAGCCCTGGAACTGGTGGGGATGATGCCCACGCCCATGGAGCAGATGCTGAGGCTGCGGCACTAAGGAGACCCGGCCTGCTATAGGAAGTGGAGCAGAGAGTAAGGTGCCTTCAGCTCCTACAAAAGCATGGAGTTCTGCTTCATCCAAGACTAAAAAAAAAATTCACAATGTGCATTCTGATGCCAAGAGTCAAAAGAATAACTAATGTCCACTACAGGGGCCAAGCAGTGGTCTTCCTACTACACCACATTGTCTCTTAAAAGAGAGCACCTCATTTCAGCTCCAGCCCACATGCTCAAGATACAAGCAAGGCTCAGGGAGACTGGCTGTCTCAGTTGGCAGAGCATCTGACTCTTCATCAATCATCAGGTCATGAGTTTGAGCCCTATGTTGGGTGCAGAGACTACTTTTCAAAAAAGATTTTTAAAAAGATATAAGCAAGACTCAAAAGGAAAAGAATAAACTGGAAAAAAAATCTGTCAACATACAACAGGCAAATTTCCTTAATATGCAAAGAGCTGGTGCAATTCAAGAAAATGACAAAAATTACAATAGAAAAATGGACGTGACAGATGAACCAAAAAAAAAAAAAAGATAATTGATAATTTGGGGATGCCTGGGTGGCTCAGTGGTTGAGTGTCTGCCTTTGGCTCGGGGCCGGGATCGAGTCCCGCATCAGGCTCCCTGCATGGAGCCTGCTTCTCCTCTGCTGTGTCTCTGCCTCTCTGTGTGTCTCTCATGAATAAATAAGATCTTAAAAAAAAAAAAAAAAAAGATAATTTGCCAACAAATATGATAGCCTTAGCTTCTAAACAAATAAAAAAATACAAGTTTAAACAGAGCATTCCAGGGGCACCTGGGTGGCTCAGTCAGTAAAGCGTCTGCCTGCGGTTCTGGTCATGATCTCGGGACCCTGGAACCAAGCCTGGTGTTGAGCTCCCTACTAAGCGGGCAGTCTGCTTCTTCCTTTGCTTCTGTTCTTTCTCTCGTTCACCCTCTCTCTCAAATAAATAAATAAAATCTTTAAAAAATCACATACTCTTCTGACTGAGACTGCCAGGTGCACCTCCATTTGTTTTCATAAGAACAAAAGGCTCTACCAAAAAACAACACAAAACAAAATACCCCGATGTTTCATTTGTTTTTTAAAGATTTATTTACTTAGAAGGGGATCCCTGGGTGGCTCAGCAGTTGAGCGTCTGCCTTTGGCTCAGGGCCAGGATTGAGTCCCACATCGGGCTCCCTGCATGGAGCCTGCTTCTCCCTCTGCCTGTATCTCTGCCTCTCTCTCTCTCTCTGTGTCTCTCATGAATAAATAAAAACCTTTAAAAACATATATAAAGATTTATTTACTTACAGCGAGAGGACAAGAGCAGAGGGAGAGAATCCCATCTGATGCAGGACTCGATCTCACAACCCTGAGATTAAAAAACAAAAAAACAAAAAACACGAAAAAGCCCAAAACCAAAACCAAACCAAACACTGAGATTCGTTGACAGCATCACCCAGCCACCCCAAGACTCAGGTATCTTATGAGAACATAACTTTATGTAACCCATCGTGGGCAGAAGTCATTCTAGGGGTGTGGAGGGTGGGTGGAGGAGGAAAGGGACAACTTTCTCTTCTGTTTATGCTTTTCTCTCTTCTCCGTTTTAAACAAAGAGGACTTTTCTAACTTAGAAAAAAAAATAAAAAAATAAAAAAATAAAAAATAAAAATAAAAATAAAATAAAAAGCCCTGCTGGCCCAGAGGTTTGGCACCACCTTCGGCCTGGGGTGTGATCCTGGACACCCAGGATTGAGTCCCACATCAGGCTCCTTGCATGGAGCCTGCTTCTCTCCCTCTGTGTCTCTGGCTCTCTCTGTCATGAATAAATAAAATCTTAAAAAAGTAAAAAAGGAAAGAAAAAATGTAACTAAGTGAACACCTAGAAACCATAGGAGAAAACACGATGGGTACAACTACCTACAAATGAAAATACAAACGCGAGACACAAGAGCCCTTAGCCCTTTACACAGACCTGTACCTTCTCTCTGGCTCCAACTGAGGTTAAGTGGGAAAAAGCCTAAATAATGTCAAACAATTGAAGTTTTCCTTTAAATTACAACGGTTTCAAAATTAATTAATGGAAATTAATGTTAATTCTTCCTTTAAAAAATACAATTGTAGCTATTTTTATTTTTTCAATTGTAGCTATTTTAACAGAGAAATGTGCCCCACGGGCCATCTTGTGGGCAGTGCAAGCCCGAGCACCCCTGCTGGCCGCTGAGGGCATTGCTGGCAACACCCGCATACCCACTTTGGGAATCTGGCCCCAGAAGGCACCTGTAACCCAGAATATGGTGCTAACAAGTGGAACCACCTGTGTGTCAGATCCTGCCTGCTTCTCCATATAGGAAGCCCACGCCTGTTAATGGACTTCCACCCAGGGGCAGACAGGGATAAAGGGATCAGGGCCTGTATTCATTTTCCAGTCACCGTACACTAGTGCTAAAACCATACTCCCAATCAAAGCAGACCACAGCTGGGCTCCCTGCTCAGGGGCTTCTCAGAGGCTGCCTCGGAACTCAGCTCCTCACCCAGATGGCATAGGGGCCCATCCTCTCACTGCTGTGTCCCTCACAAGTGGCTGCTCCCTCAAGGCTGGCAGCAAGTTTCTGACACCTCAGGAGACACATGGCGGGGTCAGGAGCCACCTCTCCCAGAAACGGTTCTGCCCAGACTCAAGGGGACATCTTCCAGGAGCCCGAATCCTAAGGCCAGGGAATGGCCAGTGGGCAAAGGAATGCCTCCTGGTGGTGCTGCCACACACACAGAGCAATGCTGGAAGGGCGGGGGACGGCTCCAGCCCCCTAGGGTACCTACATCCCTACCAGGTGTGGAGTTCACTCTCAATCTGTCTCTAGTGTGGCTCATGGCCCAAGTGCATGGGATCAGGCCTACTTCCTGCCTGGCTTCATCAGATGGCACATCCAGTTCACCTGCTGGGTGCAGGCCCGTCTTGCTTCCCAAACACCCAGGGTGCCGAGCTGAGTGGAAGGAACTCAGGGGATCAGACTAGTCAAGGTGATCTAGCACAACTGCCACCACCACCGGACAACCCAATGAACAGGGTCCTAAAACAGGGGTTCCCCACCCCGCCTTTCTCCAGCGCACTCACACTCACCAACAGCAGGTGCCTGGCCTGTTCCTGATGCTCCGCACACCTGCAGAGGCCTTTTGTCCTGGTGGCACAATGCCAGAAGGCATACAGCGAAGGTGAAGCAACATCTAAGGGCCCCCCGTGTTTCTTCCCTTCACACCAAGGCTGGAGCACAGGGGCCACTGCCCCAGAGGTGTGGGCTTCCCAGCCCATGTCCAGCTTAGTCGAGCTCACCAGGTTTCTCAACACAAACCAGGCAGGATGGCCACCACTAGCCATCCAGATGCAGCACCAATTCATTCCCTCTGCACAGGACTGTCAGGGACAGAGCTTAGGCTCCTCAACTCAAATCTCCACCTCCGCTGACCCTCACACAAGAGCGTGGAAGTAAGCAGCTCATCAACTGTTCGCTTTGGATGTACAAGAAATGAAGAGCCTTTCAAATCATCTATTAGATGAAAACCTACTCCGGCTTTGGTTCCAAACAAGCCCAAGTGACAGCACAGGTCCTGAGTCAGGACACCAGTGATGTGGCTGCTGGGTACAAAGTCACATCATTCATTAGTGGTCAGGTCAGTGAAGACCTGTACTTGCACAGCTGGAGCATCCAGACACCCTCCCAAGCTCCTCATCACAGCAGGCCCTGCTAGGAGCTCCCACCTTAGCGTCATTTGTGGAGAAACCAGCTTTGGTTTCAAAGGATCTTGGGCACCATGTGCCACAAGGGATCCAGCTCAAGCCCTGCTCCAGTGCCAGCCTTCCCCTGGGATGGGCACTGAAGCTACCCTGGCTCTGCCTAGCTGCCACGCAGGCATAGTGGCTTGAGGATGGGTTCGGGGCAGCCTGCATGCCTTGCAAACCTGGATGAAGGGACTGCTATTCAGAACAGCAGACGTGCACACCAGTCTGGGAAGATGTAGCCCCAAGTCCTGAGATAGGTAACTGGAAACTACTCTGGTTAACGAGGACTCCTTGCAACACCTGCACGAGAAAGGTACTGATGTTATTCAGTCACTGTGCTGCCCTGCAAAGGTGCCATCACCCCTGCCAGGTCTCAGGTCCCCTCAGAGGAGAATGCCATCACATGGAGACAGCAAGCAGCAGAAGTTGCCAATAGCACTTTATTTTTTCTTTTCAACATCCTGTTCTGCAGCTTCCTTGGCCCTTTTTGCCCGGATGCCAAAAAGCCGGGCATTGGCACGGGCCATGCGGAGGCTGGCAAACGCCTTAAAGTTCTTCTCCTCTTCTGTGATGACTCTGGCCTTCTCCTTCTTGTAGACCTGAAGGGGGACACAGGGTGTGTCAAACCTTTGTCTGCAGGAGGGTCCATGATTGTGTCAGCAAAACCTCTGACGAGAGGAGGTAAAGGCTACACATGCCCACCCTCAGCTTCAAGACCACTATGAATCCACCAAGAAGACAGGACAGTGAGCCTCCCTAGGACATAACCCCACAACCACCTCAGGTGTTTGCAGAGAGTGGAGGCTGGATACCAGGTCACACCACAGGGACCTTGGACAGAGGGAGCCCACCTCCCTTGCCACAGGAACCTCAGGGGCCCAGTCATTTGCTGGATCCCCAGACATGTCCAAACAATGACTCGTGGCCTGGCCTTTCCGAATAGCAGCAGGGGTGTGTATGAGACAATCAAGTCCCCAGACATAAAGGCAAGGCCCTCCCTCCAGGAGCCCATGAAGAAGGAAAGATGCTCCCTCCAGAGTTACAGCAAGGTTCCCACAAACCCAGACATCTCCACACAGCCTGGCTGCCACCCTGCAACCAAGCCCCCCCCCCAAGCATTCATGGTCGATCCCTACTTACATTCCGTATGGGCATGACTGGTCCTGTCAGCTGTGTTGCCAGTTTGAGTTCTTCAGCCTGTTTGTTAAGGGGAAGGGAGTCGGCTCGGCTGAGTTCAGCTTAAAGGCCCTGGGGCTGCAAGCATGTAACCTAGGATTCCAGTCCCACTTCCTGCTGGGGCCCTGTTCCATCAGCTGACAGCAGATGCACAGGCCTGTGCCACAGCCGCCCATACGTGAACCCTAGGTGCAGGCAGGCCCCCAGGATACTGACCTAGCTCCGAACCATCTCTCTCTCTCTGAATCTTCCCCTAGGAATGCATACTTCATATACAGCATTTTAGAAAACGCTTTCGGTAACAAATGCTTAACTTCTAACTAAACTGAAATGATAGCTCCTGTTAAGACACAAAAGAGGAGTTTCCAGGAGCAGCGGTGCACTTCCTGCCACTCTAGACGCTGAGGGAGTGAATTCTCAGGGTCTTTCTCCGCCTCCCGCCCTGCCTGTGACCTCTGGATGTTTGGGGGCACTCACTGAGCTGTCGCCCTTCTTGGGGGCTGAAGGCTTCCTGGGGAAGAGGATGAGCTTGGAGCGGTATTCCTTGAGCCGCTGCACGTTGGCCTGCAGGGACTCCGTGGACTTGTTCCGCCGCCGCGGGTCCACCGAGATGCCAATGGTCCGCGCCACCTTCTTGTGAATGCCGGCCACCTAACCGATAGAGAGGCCCATGAAGCCCCCTCACCCCACCCCGCCCCGTGCCCCCCGCCCCTGCCGCGCTTGGCCGTCAGATGGAAAAGGGTTCGAGTGTACTTTCATCACGTGAGTACAGCGATTCCGGAGACTGTCATCATTGGCCCGCGGGACCCCGGGTCCCCCCCACAGCCCCCCGAGCCCCCGCACTCACCCGGAGCTCCTCCAGGCTGAAGCCCCTGCCGGCCCGCACCTTCGTGTGGTACCTCACCGTGGGGCAGCGGACGATTGGCCGGATGGGCCCTGACGCAGGCCGCGGGGCGATGCGGCGGGCCTTGGCCTGGCGGGCCTTGCGTCTGCGCGGGGACAGGGGTGCGGGGGTCAGGGGTGCCGAGTGCGAGGTCAGGGGGCGCCCCTCCCACACCCAGCACGGCCGCTCACCTGCGTATTTTCCGCGCCGGCTGGTTGAACCACGTGGCCACGCGCCGCTGCCAGTCCTTGTGGAAGTGGGGCTTGAGGATCATGCCATTCCGGCTGGGCGCCATGGCGGCTACCTACGGGCCTGCGGGCGCGGGGAGCGAGTCAGGGTCGGGGCTCCGGCCGGCCCGCTCGCCCCCAGAGCCCGGACCACGGCCCTCTCCTGTCGGCAGCGCGGGCCCGAAGCCCCTCTGCGGCCGGGCCTGGAGCAGCCCGACACCGATGGCAGCAGATGGCAGCGGATTGCAGCGGATGCCGCGGGACAGCACACTCACCTCCTCCTAGGGAGACAGGCCAGCGGAAAAGAACTGGCGGCGCGAAGCATGCTGGGATGGTACTGGGTCCGGCCAATCACAAAAGCGCCAAGCGTTCTGGCCAATCAGAATCGGGGATCGCGGAAGTGACGCGCACACCCTCCCAGCCACCCCCGCGGCCCCGCGCAGATATGGCGCTCTACGGCAGCCGCGCTCTGGTCGCCGGGCCCTGCTGGCGGACGGCGGGCTGTTGTAGGACTCAGCGGCCCTAAGTCAGGACGCCGGGGCCGGAGGAGAGCAGCAGCGCCTTAGCTCCCGCACGCCACGGGACTCGGTACGTGCGCCTAACTCTAGGGCGTCGCCTCCGCGTCCCGTGCGTCCACACAGAGTGGACTCCTCCGGAGTGTTAGCTGTACGCGGGGCGTGAGGACTTGACGGGCGTGTTTGCGCAGCCCCGCGCAGCTGCCTTCGCTGGGCGGAGGGGTCGGGAGCCTTCCCCGAGGTCGGGTGCCTTCCCCCGGGGTCGGGAGCCCTGCCCTGCTACCTGGGCGGAGACGAGCGCCCTAACATGTACCGAGAAGCCACATGAACCTCTGTGATCTGGGCCCTGTGCTCCTCTCTACTGTGGGCAGGTCTACACCCAAGTAACCCTGCCGCCTTCCCACCGGCGCCCTAAACACGAGGCTTCTCGCTAATACAATTTAACCGACGTTGGAAGACCGTCGTGACCCAGGATGAGAAGTTTGAAGGCCCGTGTGCTTCCCTGAGTGAATAGCTGCGGACTGAGTTTTCTGCTCTATTGAGACATCCTGGGATGTTAGAAAAATCGGGTTGAGATTCACTGAGGACTTTAGGGTCTGGCTGAGGACACAGAACCCGTGTAATACAAGGGGCTAGCGGTCTGCACAGGCAGACGCACTGAGCCTGCCTGTTAGGAAGCTAGGACAGGGTAGCCCCTCTGGACAGCATCAGCACGTGCAGGCTGGGCCTGAAGGCCCCTCTTGGACTTGGAAGTGGTACCTGTCTGTGAACCTCTCTGGTCTGCCGCTTTCACACACACAGGGGCTAAGCTTGGGGGGGGGGGGGCGGTCAGCGACAAGCCCCTAAGAACGTGGCTGTGGAGTTGCCTTGAGCTCTACCTTTGTACTAGTTTTGGGATGTTGGGCACCTTATTTGCACTTTTCCCTCTGTGAAATGGAAGGATGGACCATTGGGGCCACAGAACACAGCTCTACTTCCAGGTATGTGCTTGGAGCCTGGAAAGTGGCAGTGCGGGAGAGGAGGAGGGAGGAGAGTAGACGAACCCTCCTTGAGCCGTCAGGCAAACTGTGAGGGATTTTCTAGTGGAACTGGAGCTTGAGCCCACACTCGCTCTATCGCAGCAGCATAACTGCAGCAGAGTGACGCTGGAGAAAACAGTTGTTGCATAAACACTTGCCTTGACCTGCACGGTGTCTTTGAATGTTCTCTTGTCAGATGTTAGGCTGCACCTCCCATGTCTCTCTCAGACACCCTTCACTGGATCATTGTGGATCAGGTCCCTTGTTCTTTCTAATCTCAAATTCCTATCCATGCCCCCAATTTCTCTTTCTGGACAGACCCCCAGACTTGCGCACTTCCATCTGCCCTGACCCACATTTCCACTTAAGTTCCAGCCATGGGTCACTGGTTGGGGGAGAGAAGTCTGAAAATAGAAACGCTGCTCAGAACCAAGTTAGCGGTAAGAAAGTGACGTTGTAATTAGAGGATCTTGGTCTCCTGCACACAGCATTGCAGATGCAGACTCCAGTATCCCATACTTGAATAGTCAATACACTGATTTCCTTAGAAAAGGGTGCAGAAGGGAGCCCTGGGTGGCTCAGCGGTTTAGCTCTGCCTTTGGCACAGGGCGAGATCTTGGAGTCCTCGGATCAAGTCCCACATTGGGCTCCCTGCATGGGGGGTAGAAAAGGGTGCAGAATGATGAGGTCACACTGGTTCTGATGACAAATCCTTCAGGCGACAGGCTCGGCTTGTTGGGAAAGTCAGAATGAACTGTTGGCAACTATTAAGCAAGAGTCTTTTTTTTTTTTTTTTAAGATTTTACTTATTTATTCATGAGAGACAGAGTCAGAGACAGGCAGAGAAGCAGGCTCCCCATGGGAAGCCCGACGCGGGACTTGACCCTAGGACCCCGGCATCACGCCATGAACTGAGGGTAGACGCTCAACAACTGAGCCACCCAGGCATCCCAAGCAGGAGTCCTTCTAGTACAAAAATGTGTCTGGCTCAAGCATTTTAATAATTGGTAGCATAGGGACAGGCCTTGTCCTCCTGGGCACAGAATTCCACAGCTTGCTCCAGGGCTTTTGTACCAGACTTGGGCATGCCAGGGCCATAGAAGGAGCTAGCTCATGCCTCTGGGAACTGCACTCAAGGTGGCCGGCAATTCCTGGATGAACACCCCCGAAGGTATGGGAGAATGCTCCACACAGCCTCCCAGAATTTCCTTGCAAGACTGAGCCCGTTACTCAGCAGAACCTGTTCATTCAGTACCTGGACCTTACTGGTGACCTCTAGCTGCTGCTGTAGGTTTTGGTTTCAAAGAAATTCCACTTAAGACAGTCAACAAGTGTTTGGAGTCCTCTCAGACATACAGTCTTGATTTTGTAAATCAGTTTCATAGCAAAGTGATTTTTATTTTTTTAAGGTTTATGTATTTATTCATGAGAGAGAGAAGCAGACTCCTTGCAGAGAGCCCGATGCGGGACTCAATCCCAGATCCCAGGATCAGATCCTGAGCCAAAGTCAGACACTCAACCCTGAAATACCCAGGCGTCCCTACAAAGTAATTTTTATAGTGGTTTTTGGGTGTGTGTGTGTGTGGGGGGGTTATATCCGAAAACACTTTGTAGAAATGAGTGTGCTATGTCATAAAAATATGGGCTGCTGGTTGAAATTGGAAAAGCAGTAACCCAGTAAACGGACAGGATACGTCATATTCACTACTTAATCACAGAACTCCTAACTTTCCAGTGTCTCAGCTTTCCAGAATCATGGCCTACACAAAAATCAGCTGTAGGATAACTCAGGAGATTCCTATAACCTGAAGGAACACTTGACATCTGTGAAATGTGGCAGAAAGATTAGTATTATAATCATAAACTTTTTATTTAAAAGTTGATAAGAGGGGATCCCTGGGTGGCACAGCGGTTTAGCACCTGCCTTTGGCCCAGGGCGCGATCCTGGAGACCCGGGATCGAATCCCACATCAGGCTCCTGGTGCATGGAGCCTTCTTCTCCCTCTGCCTAGGTCTCTGCCTCTATCATAAATAAAAAATTTAAAAAAATAATAAAAAAAATTGCTAAGAGTAGGTCTTAAAAGTTGCATCACAGAAAATATCTGCATGACAGATGTTAACTAGGCTCATTTTGATCGTTTTGCAACACATTTAAACGTTCAATCATACCGTAAACCTGAAACTAATATGCGTATCAGACCCAAACAAACTTTTCATAAGCATAACAATCATGTTGATGAATGTAGATTACAGTGGAGAACAATTTGTATTACTTAAAAACATGGTAATTTTTTAACTTTTCACTCTTCTGTGGATGATTGTGTTGAACATACCTGTTTACTTTTAAAAAGCAAAAAGTGTGTCGTTCACTGGGCGCCCAGTTGGCTCAATCAGAAGAACATGTGACTCTTGATCTCCAGGTCATGAATTCGAGCCCCAAGTTGGGTGTGGAGCTTACTAACAAAACTCTGTCTTAGGGAGAGACACCAGAAGCTACATTTAGCCCTCTTATACCCACTGTGCTGAGGGGAGGGCAGAGGGTTGAGTACACAGGTGGCCCAGTGTGGTCTGGCTGCTCCAGGGAACCACCTGCAGTTGGAGAAGGCCCTTTAGGGGCGGAGTGAGAGGCAGCCTCAGGCCCTGATGAGGTAGCAAGAGGAGGTTTAACTTCTGGCACTCTTCTTGAGTACCAGATACTCGATGACCTGGAGGGGATGTCACTTATGACCAGTTGGAGAACCAAAGTTTGCAAACAACTTGCTTCTATAAATCAGCACAGTGAGACTCTCCCACTGCATGGCGGAGCCTGCTCCCATTAGTGAGTGCTAGGGAGTCAGGCTCCACCTGTCTCCACCATAGTGAGGGGCCACTTTTCCTGCCATTTACATTCGATTCCTAAGTGTCTTCTGGTGCACAGCAAACAATTTTCCAAAGGCCACTTTAATGGTAAAGTATATGGAGGATGAGCTTGACCACATTTACAGTTCAGGACAGAGGGTGCCACCCTGGGGCAGAGACCAGAACCCTCCTAACCACATGCTCATCTGTGGAAGTGAACTTGGGGAACTGGGGCAAATGCAAGAGTGCCCTCTCAGAGCTACGACCTGTACCTGCCCACATCCTGCCATTTCCTCAGGGCACAGATTGTGGAATGAGCAACAGAACAACCCATTATGTCAGGATGTGCCCATAATCAAACCATGGCTCCCAATGTCAGTGCACAGGATGTGTGTGCTGCATGCCCCTGGGGACAAGGAGCCGAATGCACCGCGCTTGTTGCAAGGAGGGTGTGTCCTAGGGCCTTTACCCACCAGATTCCTACAAAAGGGACTCTTCAACAGATTACCATGTGGATGAAATTATAAACTGAAACACGTGACCCTGTGTTGAGATAGAGCTGGCCATGTGGTACAAAGATGGACTCTCCACCCACAGAATTTACTAGAAAGTACCATAGCAGGTCTCAGGGGTGTCTGTCTCCCCACTACCCATGCCAGGGTGCTGGGGGCCAGAGCAGCAAGGAAAGGCTCTCATGCTCATGTCCACAAAGCAGCAGGTGGCAGTGCTTTAATGCTGTAGAGCCCAGTGCCTGTCCCCAGTGCTGCCCCTGTGGGGGTGTGAGCACGAGAGCAGGGCCCAGCAAGGGAAGACAAGCCAGTCAGCTCAGAGGGGCCTTTCATCGCCAATCCTGTCAGCATTCTGATGAGGCCAGAGGAGCTGAGGACAGAACAAGCTATTGGGGGCCTGAATGCAGTGCTGCCTCTGGTCTGCCCAGCACCCCCAAAATAACAGTGTCACAGACCTGGGACCTGCACACCGGTACCCTCCCCATGGGTGGGGAAAGGCTCTACAAAGCTAAATTGCCTGAAGAAACATTTACTATTCACAAGCAGGGAAACCAATAAATAGATCCCAGAAGCCTTTCAGAGACCACTGGGGGCTGGGAGAAACGGGCATGGTGGGGTGGGTGGTGGCACTAAGTAAGGAGTTCCTTCCTGCGGCTGGCAGGAACATCACATCCCCGCAGACACAGTTGAGGAGGTCCAACTATTTGGGCCAAGATGGCTCCTCCCCTCGAAGTGGGGGCTGCTGAGGTGCCTCCTCCTCCCCAGCGTCTTGCTTCTCCCTCTCGGCCTCACTCCACCTCTGAGGTGCGATCATCTTCTTGGGCCCGTGAGGTGGCGGACCGATGAGGGCCTCGATATCCTCATAGTTGATCACTTCCTTCTCCAACAGGGCATTTGCCAGCTAAGGGAACAAACAGGGCAGTGTATGAGTCTCAGACAAGGACACAGAAGAGCCTTCTGAAAGCAGAGCACCCGGGAGGGGGTGGGTGTCTGTGAGCGGACGCCCGGGGTAGCCCACTTTCCCAGGAAGCTATGAACACAGGCAGCTCGAACACAGAATCCCTCCCTGTCTCAACCTTGTAGATGGTCTCCCAGCTGCCAGCCTCATTAATTCTTCTACTTCCCTTCCAAATCTGTTTTCTGAGGCAACTTCGATTTCCTTTCCCAAACAAGGTGTATGTGTGCGTGTGTCTGTACATGGGAGAGCGAGTGGAGGCTGGAATGTGTGTGTGTGTGTGTGGGGGGGGGGTGCTCGTGCTGAAGTGTGGGGAGGGAGCCTCTGCCATCCTGGATGTGGTCGTGTGTGTGTGTGTGTGTGTGTGTGTGTGTGTGTGCGCGCGTGCACGCACCCAGCACCGGCAGCCCATCCATCTCTGATGGCTCCATCATGGCCACAAGGAACACTGTCCCGGGCACCTCTGACTAGGGCCACTGCATCCTCCGTGGGGCAGTTCCGGTGCACTGCTAAGCCCTGTAACCTCCCAATAGGGCAAAGGCAGGATGTTCTGGGCCCCACACAGGGAGCCTGAGTCCTGCCAAGCAGCAGCCACAGTGTGGTACCAGGATCTTATTAACAGCAGATTCTAGCTCAGCTCTGCACTGCTCACAAGCCCCAGGAAGCAGGTGCTGCTGGCCTGGGGGCAACATGCTTAATTCCCTGCCTGGCGGAGCAGCTGCCTCCCATGACTGGAGTAAGAGGCAGTGGGGAAACGATGAGCTGCCCACTTCTACGAGGGACATGGAAAGTGCCCACTTCAGGAGTCCTCTTCCCAGTCTGTCTATGAGAACCACAAATCTCAAGGGTAAGACCTTCTACACACACCAAACCATTGGTCCTACAGCTGACAGAGTGGTCAGCAACAGGTAACAAAGTCCAAGCCCAGGGAAACCTAACAAGAAATCACAAGGAAACATAATATGGGGTCCTGGAACAGGAAAGGACATTGAGTATAAACAGTGTGGGCTTGAGTTAATGAGGTATCAATACTGGTTCAGGAACACCTGAGTGTCTCAGTGGTTAAGCGTCTGCCTTTGGCTCAGATCCCAGAGTCCTGGGATCGAGTCCCTCACTGGGCTCTCTGCATGGAGCCTGCTTCTCCTTCTGCCTGTGTCTGTGTCTCTGCCTCTCCTTTCCTCTCTCTCTCTGCGTCTCTCATGAATAAATAAAAAAACTAAAAACAAAACAAAACAAATACTGATTCACTAGATCGTGGAAAATGCACCATGTTGACAGAAGATTTTAACAATACAGAAAACTGGCATAGGGTAGAAGGAGCTCCGTGCTATGTCTGCAGCTTTGTCTATAAATCTAAAATGATTGTAAACTTTAAAATAATTCAGTTTAAAAATTCCAGGAAAGGGGCCCTGGACTGGCTCAGTTGACAGACCGTGCGACTGTTGATCTCAGGGTTGAGAGTTCAAGCCCCACACTTGGCACAGAGATTACTTAAAAATTAAAAAAAAAATAAAAAAAATAAAATTCCAAGGAAAACTTAAGAGCTGGGAAAGAGTAAGGGAAGCTGACCACATAGTGATAACCACTGAAACCTAATTTCCTCTGCCCACATAGAACGGATTGGCTGGTAGTGTTCATAAGCTAAAAAGGAGATATGAGAAATGTCAGAGTTCACTTGTACTGGGTTAGACACGGTGGCCCTGTTCTCTATGGCTCTGTGTACTCCTGTGAGGAGCACTGTGTAGTGATGGCTGCCTGCCCTCTGGGGGGACAGGTTGGTACCCAGAGCCTCACCGCCTGCAGCTTTTCCAGGTTGTCCTGCAGCACCTTCTCTGTGTGCCTATAGGCCTTTGCCACGAGCAGTTTTGCTTCCTGCCAAAGAAAGACAACAGATCTGTAATGGGGAAGGTAGCCAACAAACACAAAGTCCCCTGTGGCCGACTCTGGCACCAGAGCACATGAGAGAGCCTCAGGGTCAGGGACACAGCCTTTATCTCACCGTGGCCAGGAGGGCTCAGCTGCCAATAGCATTTCCTGCCCCTACCCTGTCCCCTGGGAATGCCCCTGCTCAAGGTGCCAGCCCACCAGCTCCTGAAGCTGGGAAGCCTATGTCTGTGCTCCCTGCCTGCAGCCATCTCACACATGCGCCAGCCCAAACACTGCCCTGGTCCAGTCTCATGGGGAGCATGCAGCGTGTCCTGCAGGTGCAGCGACCACTGGGCACTGGCTGTATCATTTGAGGTATTTGTTCTATCTCTTTTCTGGTTTCACATCGCAATGTGATATGAAACCAAGAGCCATACAAGTCCTCCCCTAAGAACAGACACTCAGCGGGTGAGGACTGGAATACCTTTGATGTGGACCACACAGCTGGGCCCTCAGCTCAGTGTGGCAGTGGGCATGGCGCCAGCATGTGAGAGACCCACCTCCTAACCCCAGCATACGACAGGATGGAGCTGATGCCCAACACATTGTATAGACTCACATGATCCATCATCTGCTGCAGGCCCTGGCTGAAGGGGCGCCGTCCAATGCCTGTGAGGCCCTCCTGCACCTCAGGAAAGGAGACGGGCCCAATGCTTGGTGCCATCCCAAACTGCTTCACCATAGAGTAGGCAATGCGTGTGACCTTCCTCAGGTCGTCCTGAGCCCCTGGAGTGTGGGGTCAAGAAAGGGGTTTCTTTCCTGACAGTGCTAAATCAGGGCACACTGGGGCCCCCACTGGCGCAGGCCTGGGCCTGACAGCGAGGACCCAGGGTACAGATGTATCCTGTTACTGTTCCTTGAGAAAGTCTTCAAACTCTAAGTTACTACTGGGATGCACAACTGGGTTCACTTCCCCAGCAGTTTTGCAGAGGTTCACGTATCACGCTGAACCACAATGTCACTGGGAATGAGAAAGGCACATCTCCACTTCCTGTCTGGGCATCCCAGGGAAGTAATAGCTTGAGAACACTTGCTGACATTCAGAAATACATTTGTATCCTACTATTCAGATTCCCTCTCCCACTACCATGCAAAAGGCACAGTGGGTGTGAAAGTGCTTCGAAAACTCCTGCAGGGACCAGATTCTCACCAGAAGTAACTTTGTTGAAGGAGATGGTCTCCGACACACGGCCGCCCAAAGCCATGCACATGCGCTCAAACAGCTGCTCCTTGGTGAAGAGGTGCTGGTCTCTTGGAAGCATTTGAGCAAAGCCCAGTGCAGCATTCGTCCGTGGTGCAATGGAGACCTGTAGAATGTTATGTGGCTGAGTTAGCAGGCAGGATTCACACTTTAAAGATGCAGGTGGGGAAAGGTGAGACACATCTTTAACTGGAGGGTTTCAAAGCAGTCAAAGCAAATCGGCACTGGCCCTATTTTGTTAACAGAGACCCTGTCCTTGAGGGAGAATGGCTCATGCATGCTGTTGGGCTATGTCTTCCTTGCACATCCCTAAAGTACAATAGCAAAGACAGGGCCTCTTGGGTAAAGCCAACCAAGGAGTTGGGGGGACAAACATGCCCCCTCCCCATCCTCCTGTCACCCCCTGCCGCTGTGGGTGCATGGCATGGCTTGGGTCCCTTGAGATCCTGGCTTGGGGACACCAAGGACAAGGGGGACTCCCCTTGCCTCCCCACTGGCCCAACACCAAGGTGTGCACACAGGGGTAGGGGGCCACCCTGGTAGAACAGGACCTGCCCCACGAGCAGCAAGTGGGGCCTCAGGGGCAGCAGGAGGACCAGCTCCCAGCGCCCTGGGCATCTGAGAGGAAACTTCAAATCTAACACTGTAGCAAGTCACAACATAAATGCCTGTCAACAACTGTGGGCCCGGTAAATGGAACTGCCCCATCTTCCCTGCTGAGCAGCAGGTTCTCATCCTGACAGATGTGTCTTTTGGACACTAAATGAATTGATAATCTTAAGGAAATTTAAAATTATGACATAAACTTCACTTGGAATTTTTCTATATTAATTTTTATTTTACTTTTTGAGATACTGCATTAAAGCATTTGTCTTGAACCCTGCCTTCTTCAGCCTTGGCTTGACCCAGATCACCAGACCCTGGACTTCCAGCCCTCTGGGGAGTGTAGAAAAGGGACTGGCCTGATCAACTGGGTGTCGTCAGATGCAAGCAGACTAACCACCTACATGGCTGCACCTAACTCTCCTGAAAAGAAGTTAAGGACAGGAAACGCTAACATGCAGGCCGGCAATCACCACGCGTCCCCATGTTTGGTGCTGGGGACGTGCGGTGCTGTAGCTCCCACCCCACATTGTGGAACCAGAGCACCTGTGGGGCTCTTCTCCAAGCAGTATGTCAGGTCTGTGTGGAGGGCACAATTACGTCTGCGCCCACATCCTGGGGGGGAGTTGTTTATGATATTAGCAGTGGGTACAAATAAATTTCCAAGTTCACAAATGCCTACAAGAGTGCTTTATTTATTTATTTATTTATTTATTTATTTATTTATTTATTTATTTAAAAGATTTTTATTTATTCATGAGAGACAGAGAGAGAGAGAGAGAGGCAGAGACATAGGCAGAGGGAGAAGCAGGCTCCACGCAGGGAGCCCAATGTGGGACTCGATCCTGGGTCTCCAGGATCAGGTCTTGGGAGGAAGGCGGCGCTAAACCGCTGAGCCACCTGGGCTGCCCAAGAGTGCTGTTTTTAATGTGAACCAAGCTCACTTATTTTTAAGGTTAGGAGTCATTGCCATCAACCCTTTTAGAGATGGCAATAAACTTGGCAATTCTTAATTCCAAGATTACCTGTAGATGGCAGAGGGAGACCTCAAGTCATCCAGTGACTTTGCAATGGTCATGCCCCAAACTAGAGCCCACTTAAGATCTCCTGCACTTTGCTTCTGGGCAAAGAGATCCTGTACCATCACCTCCTGCCCACGTCTACCTCACACTGTGCTTTCTCTTCAAGCAAAAACAGGAAGTCAGCTTTGTGCAAGGGCCAGTAGGGCTCAGAGCTGCCGAGACCCCAGACCCTCCCAACACGGACAACCTACCTTCATGACGGCCTCAGTGTGCTCCAGCAACCAGCCCACCAGGGCGTGGCCTGACTCATGAAATGCAACCACCTTCTGTTCTTCCTTTGACAGGATCTTGCTCTTTTTGGCAGTCCCTGAAAGAATGCATGAGGATCTGAGTTTGGGCACACAGCTGATCCTTTGTAAGCATGCCAGGCACTCTCTGTGGCCCCACGGAGGTCTGCCCTATGTCATCAAAACAGTGTTGTCCCTGATATTCACCGCTTGCATCTCCGCCCCGAGCCAACACCCAGAACTGACCCCCATTAGGGGGAGAGGTGCTGGAGGGTCCCTGTTTGTTTCTACTTCTGTGAATGCTAGGGTGAGCAAACTAGTCCCTGCAGGCTTTACAAGTGCCCACCCTCAGGGGCCCACAGGGCCACTGTGATCACATGAGGTCTCCACTGAGGTCCAGGCTTCGCCGCAGCTTCTCCCCCGACTAGCTGGAAGCTGCAGCCCCCTGCTAGGTGACCGCTTCCCACCTTGTGACTCAATCGTACACTTACCTTGTCTGTGCTACTCAGGAGGCTTCACTCAGCACCCCAGGTTCCCCACACCTCCCCAAATCCCCATTTCATACAGCCTGGATCAGCTCTGGGTTTGGGTGTGTGCTACTAGTCATCTACCTCCATTTACTGCAAGGTTATAAATCAGACCAGAGCTGGTTACGTGAGCATCTAGACATGAGGCCACAGCCCTACAGGGTAGGCTTCACTTGAGCTCAATGTGCTCTAGCTCAGGGAAGCCTGGGTGGCTCAGAGGTTAACCACCTGCCTTCAGCCCAGGGTGTGATCCTGGGGTCCTGGGATCGAGTCCCACATCAGGCTCCCTGCATGGAGGCTGCCTCTCTATCTCTGTGTCTCTCATGAATAAATAAATAAAAATCTTAAAAAAAAATAAAAGTGCTCTAGCTCAGGCAGGACACACCAGCAGGGAACAGGAGGTCCCTGGGTCTAAGCACTGCTCTGGCCAGGGCAGCTTGGTCTATACTTTCTTCTTTCTTGCTTTGATTGTTAATGTGAGTTTATCAATTTCCACGTAAAACTCAGTGGCTTATATGAAACCAAATTTGTAGTAAGAAACAGCCACTTTAGTTTCTTCTGTCCACACAGACTCCTAAGCTGCAGCCTGGGCGTCTGGTGGCATCTGTACCAGATTTTAACTTAGCTAGACCATGACAGGGATAAGCCCCTTGCAGGGACGGCTCATGGCTGAGTGCTCCCCACCCACATGCGAGGCTAGTGCCTCTAGACATCTTTTTTGTTGTTGTTGTTAAAGATTTTTTATTTTATTTATTCACAGACACACACACACACACACACACAGAGAGAGAGAGAGAGAGAGAGAGAGAGAGAGAGAGAGAGAGGCAGAGACACAGGCAGAGGGAGAAGCAAGCTCCATTCAGGGAGCCCGACGTGGGACTCAATCCTGGGTCTCCAGGATCACGCCCTGGGCTGCAGCTGGCGCTAAACCGCTGCGCCACTGGGGCTGCCCTCTAGACATCTTTTTAAAAAATTGTCAGCATCTTGGGTGGAACCCAGCTCAAGGATAAGACATGAGGGGCTGCAGAAACTTCTGGAGACTCTTAGGTTCAGTCCCGTTCTCCAGACAGAAACCCAGGGACCTGACTTTGAGTGGTGACAGTTAAGCACTGCCAGAAGCCCCTGCCCCACTGCCAGGACCCCTCCTGTTGCTGCACCGAGTGGAGCTCTCAGGAGATTGTCCCCAGGCAGCAGCGGCCTTGGCCCCTCAACGGGGATGGTGTGCTGTATGGCCTGCAGCCAGCTCCAAGGCCCTGCCCATGGCTGAGGGGCTGAGCGCCACTCACATCTGGGTGTGCAAGATCCTTCTGTATTTCTACTTGAAGAGTGTGTCTGCTCTTCAGCACATTTCTGGTATTTATTTATTTTTAATTTATTTATTATTTATGATAGTCACAGAGAGAGAAAGAGAGAGAGAGGCAGAGACATAAGCAGAGGGAGAAGCAGGCTCCATGCACCGGGAGCCCGATATGGGATTCGATCCCGGGTCTCCAGGATCGCGCCCTGAGCCAAAGGCAGGCGCCAAACCGCTGCGCCACCCAGGGATCCCCATTTCTGGTATTTAAACTAAGGAGAAGTCATGTTATAAGGACCTGACTTATAAAAACAGAAATACTTTACATACTGTGCTCTTGTCCAATAATTCTTGCTGTCCACTTCTATCCTGTGACATGTAGACCTGGCTCCCTTCACCCCACCGTCTATGTAGGTTCCCCGCTGAAAACATGCCCCTCATACCGGCAATGACCCGTTCCACAGCGTACTCGAAGTTAAATGTGTGGACCGACGTGTGGCCTTCTCTTGCAGCGTGCAGCGCGGCCTCGTTACAGATGTTGGCAATGTCAGCACCTGTCCGCAGGGGAGGGGAGTGTGGGCAGGAGGCTGAGGGCACAAGGTGGTGCTTGTGTCCTGTGCTGAAGCCATGCACCCCGCGAACAGACACAAAGCATATCCTCCTTGCACTTTCTCGTCTTTCTGCCACTTCTAAGCTCTTTACTGACCAACTGTTATCAGCTTAGCAGCACCTGCTGTTTCATTCCATCCAGTAATTCATGTGCACTGATGCACAAGAAATTAGCTTCTCCTGTATCCACAGAATTCTAGTTAAGGGCATTAAAAAAAAAAAGTCCAAAGGGAAGAAATAATAATCATAAAAGGAATTTTGTTTATATTACCCTTTAAAATGAGAGCCATACAAAAAACATCTTGATTTATGATGTCTCTACTCAATAAGAACAGACTATGAGGAGGGCAGTGGTACACATGGGCAGCCACAAGGCCTCAGATGGCATCACCTGGCAGGGAGCAGCAGGCACACTAAGCCCAAGTGTGGGAAGGCACCAAACAGCCAGTGTGCAGAGTCCTGAAGGCAGCAGTGCTTGGAGTGCCCATGGGAGGCACAGGCACAGGGCCAGTGCAGAACCATGTTGGGTCTAGCAAAAGTTGGGCAGGAAAAGCAAAGAAACTCATTGTTACTTTTACTGCTGCTGGCTCTCTGTGTACAACCTCACGCCCACCCGGCTACACTGTTGTGCAGCCCAGAGCAAGGGGTGGAGGGCACTGTGGGGGTGGCCTGCATCCTCAGGACTGACAAAAACCAGCTTCCATACCACTGAATCCTGGCGTCAGCTCCGCCAGACGCTGGGAATAAAAGCTGCTGGCTTGGGTCAACTTCAGGCTCTTCAGGTGATGCTCAAAAATTTCCCGCCTTTCCTGCAGGGAAAGGACACAGTGTGGGCTCACTCCTGCCCCACAAACAGGAGCCACTGGCTGTTAGATCCCTTTCTTTGTCATCACTCCCGACCTACAAATAGGAGACCAGTATAGACCTCAAGCAGCATTTCACAAATGAAAGATGAAAGAAACAGAATGAAGTTCACGATGCATCTAACGGTTATTCTGTAGAACATTTGCTTCAGATACATTCTCTATTTTCTAGACATTCTATTTCTAGAATGTTTCTTACACAGATGGAAAGCTGTTCCCCAAGCAGAGTCAGAGGGGAGCCCTGTTCTGCTTCTTAGAGAGCAGAAATGGTTTGAGTATCAGACCCAGGAACACTGCTGACGGTGGCACAGGAACATGAACCATTACGCTTAGGCTTCGAATTCTTTCCCCACTCATGTTGGGGTACACATCACTGCCTGCTGGTTCCTGCTGCCTGGAGCACTACAAAGTCCTGGCCAGCAGAAGGTAGACATCCATTCTGAAGCCCGAGGAGGCTGGTGGTGCTCAGAGACCACCCACCATCATGGTAGCAGCATACCTCATGCTCCAAACCCATGGAGCATCTATAGACTTGAGGGGGTCATGACGAGAATTCTGAGGTTCTCCAAGGATTCTGCTATAAAACTCAGCCCCAACGTTTAGGGATAAAGAGAAAAATACGGGTGAACAAAACAAGCTGCAAAACCAAAGGAAGAGTGGTAAGCCAAAGAAAGTATGGCCAGACAAGTGCCAGGACCATCTCCCAGGAGCACAGACCTGCAGTGTGGGAAGGTCAATGAAGACATGTCGATCCAGTCGGCCAGGCCTCAGCAGAGCATTGTCCAAAATGTCAGCTCGGTTGGTAGATGCCAGGACAATGACATGGTCCGTGGTACCCATTCCTGGAGGGACAGACAGCTTTTCAGGTAGAGCGCCCCTTTCAGGACACAAATGGGACTGAACCCACTGAGATCTGTGAGAAAGGGATAGACAGGTCACTCTGAATGAGTTGTGGACTGACCTAGGACCAAATTCTCCACAAGAGCAAGAATTTGCCTGTCCTCCCCAGGCTGTCAGCCCAGAGGCAGTGACACAGGTGGAGGCTTGTACTGCCACCCACACAGCACCCTGGGGGACTGCATTTCTCCTAGGTAACTGCCCAGCAGGCCTGGGGGGTACACTGCCCTGGGCAAAAGTGATGCGGCAAGAATGTGGCCTGGGTTTGTGGCCCTGGGTTTTTTACAGGAATTTTTTTTTTTAAGATTTTATTTTATTTATTCATGAGAGACACAGAGAGAAAGAGAGGCAGAGACATAGGCAGAGGGAAAAGCAGACTCCATGCAGGCGCTAAATTGCCGAGCCCCCCAGGATGCCCATCTTATAGGAATTTAAAAGCAAGTACAAGGGGCACCTGGGTGGCCTGGTTATTGAGCATCTGCCTTCAGCTCAGGGCATGATCCCAGGGTCCTGGGATCGAGTCTCACAACAGGCTCCCTGCAGAGATCCTCCTTCTCCCTCTGCCTGCGTCTCGGACAAAGGAAAGGAAAAAGGAAAGGAAAGAGGAAAGGAAAGGAAGGGCAGCCCGGGTGGCTCAGCGGTTTAGCGCCGCCTTCAGTCCAGGGCCTGATCCTGGAGACCTGGGATTGAGTCACCTGGCTGGCTTGGTTGATGGAGCATGCAATGCTCAATCTCAGGGTCTTGAGTTCAAAGCCCCATGTTGGGTGTGAAGCCCACTTAATTAAACAAAGAAAAATGCCACGATCTATCCTTTACTAATAAAAGAAATTCCCTAGTGAGCTGATGTTGACAAGTACAATTTAAAACTACCTGTAGGGCAGCCCGGGTGGCTCAGCGGTTTGGCGCCGCCTTCAGCCTAGGGTGTGATCCTGGGGACCCTGGATCGAGTTCCACGTCGGGTTCCCTGCGTGGAGCCTGCTTCTCCCTCTGCCTGTGTCTCTGCCTCTCTCTGTGTGTCTCTCTCATGAATAAATAAATAAAAAGTTTAAAAATAAAATAAAATAAAACTACCTGTAAAGTCTTAAGTGAAATTTAAAAGAAGTGTTACAGATTTAGGCTGACGGTGTGACCGCCACCTCCCAGCACTGCCATCAACTCCATCCCAGGACCCTGCAACGGCAGAGAGGGGCCTGGCTGAGCGCATACAGCGGTGGGGGGTGGGGGTGGGGCACCCACCTCACCTGGGACATGACACCGGAGTTACCAAGCAGCAGTCCCTGGGACACTCAGGCCACACCCCACTCCCAAGGAGATCCTCAGGAACTCTCCTGTGCTTGTGTATTCTTGCTGGAATGTGACAAGTCAGGACACCATGACAGGTCCAGTCCCGTTCATGTGTCAAGTAGAGAGTATAGCAGATAATCCTGACTTTTAAAATAACCTGGAAACAAAAACACGCAACATCCAGCACATGCAGTGCTTCTGCTGCTGTGCTCCATATGCCTGCAGCGTGGTTTTAGGAAAAGTCACACTCTGACACAGACACAAGAGGCTGCATGGAAGGAGGGTCCTGGGGTAGACGCAGCTTCACTCCTCTAATGAGCCCTGGATGGGGGATGTGCTGAGACTGCCTGCTCAGACTTCCCAAGTGTCCTCCTTCCACATGCCAAGGCCGTGTAAATGCAGACTTCTGGTCACATACACTGAAAGCATGTGGACAACATAGAAGCCGTGGCTGCAGGACAGCAGCCGGCAGACCAACAGTCTGTTCTCCATCTCTAGGATCTAGTCACTCTGATGGTCTTGTCTAAATGGCATCAGATGACATGTAGCCATCTGAGGCTGGCCTTTTGGTCCACCGAATCCCGAGACCCATCCAAACAGTTCTGTGTAAGTTGTTCATTGCTTTCCACTCTTTGATGGTAACCATAATAGGACATACCCGAGTTTAAAAACTGCACACACTGGGACGTCTGATTGGCTCAGTGGTTGAGTGTCTACCGTTGGCTTAGGTCGTGGTCCCGGGGTGCTGGGATTAAGTCTCGCATTGGGCTCCTCTCAGAGAGCCTGCTTCTCCCTCTGCCTGTGTCTCTGCCTGTCTCTCATGAATAAATAAATATAATCTTAAAAAAAAAAAACTGCACAAACTGGAGGACTTCTGGTTTGTTTCCAGTTTTTACCTACCACAAATAAGTAAACGTTTTGTGTAAACATTTCTCCAGGATAAGCACGCAGGACTGCTAGGGCTGGGTCAGATGGGAGATGTGTTTGGTTTTGTCTCCCAGAGACACTCTCACCAGCAGTGTGTCTGCTCACATCTCCCTGGATGTTTTATTCAAATCAGAATCATCTAGGTTCTCAGGGAGACCTGGGTCCGACCTCTCCACGTTCTCACTAGCATCCAGCGGTGCCACCATTCTTCATTTTAGCTCTCCTGTGATGTATGGGTGCTTCTATCAAAAACTCAGCAAGATATTTTGGTAGATGTGGACAAGCTTATTCTAAAAATTACATGAAAATGCAAAGAAAATGAATAAATAAATAAAATCTTAAAAAAAAAAAGTGGGGGGGGATGCCTGGGTGGTTCAGCGGTTGAGCGTCTGCCTTCAGCTCAGGGTATAATCCCAGACCAGGGATTAAGTCCCACTTCCGGCTCTCTGTGAGGAGCCTGCCTCTCCCTCTGTCTCTGTGTCTCTGTCGCTCTTTTTGTGTCTCATGAATAAATAAATAAAATCTTAAAAAAAAAAAACGCAAAGAAAAAGTATTAAAAAAAAAAAAGGAATACGTAAAGAAAGCACAATTACTGCAACAGTTTTAGTTGAGAGGAACAAAGTGCAAGGAGCCACCCCACCTTCATCTAAGATTCTGTGCTGAGTGAGGAAGGCGGGGTGGTGTGGTAGAGGGGCAGCCTCGTCAGCCAGGGCAGCAGACCAGGGGGCCCAGACTCTCGGACATGCCCAGCCAAGCGCTGGCAGAGGCACAAAAGCAATTCAGTGCAGGAAGGAACAGCCTTTTCAACACATGGAGCTGGAGCAACCAGACACCCACAGGCAAAAAAATGAGCCATGACTAAACCCTCACATTTTCTACAAAAGTTAACTTAAGACAGATTACAGATTAAAATGGAAAAGGCCGTGTGGATGGCAGCTAGAAGTTTCTAATGACTCCACGTGAGACTAGATCTCACGACCCCATAAATTCCTGCTAACACAGAAGCTCAGGTGAAGGCTTCCATCTCTAGGGGTACTTGGCGCAAAGCCTTCTTTTTGCTGCTGAAAATGGAGAAAGGTGACTATCAATGGATAACTTGCCTGGGAGAACCCCAGCGCTCTCTGCACAGGTGCCCATCCCATGCGGCCTGGCTGTCTGCTAGCACAGCCTCTCCCTGACCCATGAGTGGGGGGTTTCTCTTCCTGGTGAGCTTTTCCCACAACTGGCACAGTGTCTGCTCCGTGTTCCGCACTTCAATGAACAAGCAGTGCCCTTCCACAAGGACTAACAGAGACTCCTCAGACACATCTGAAGGGCTGAGAATGCCCGGCTGTGTCTGCACACAAAGGGACCTGTTCACTGCTGGCCCAGCCCAACAAGGGCCTTCAGTCAGAAGTTCTGGGGCCCTAGCTAGTGATGGGCCGGAAGCACCCCCATTCACGGCAGCGTGGAGCAGTCTGGCTCAGAGGAAGATGCCAATTAGTAAATGCTTCCTGGTCTCAAGTCTGCCCAAAAATACAGTCTCAGTCTTCAAGGGCAAACAACCAAAATAAGCAGAAGATACATTACTTCCTGTGAGCTACATGTTCAGAGTGGGAGTGGTGTGGGACCTCCTTCATATCACCCAAGATAACGTGCTGTCACACACAGAAGGCCACAGAGTTGCAGGTGAGGTCACATACTCTAACGTCACTGCACATGTCAGAAAATCAGAGCTTGGAGAAACTGGGGCAGATGTGAACCCCACAGTGCCCTCCCAGTCCAGGAGCATGCCTGATGTCTAGTGCTCAGACTGGCATCTGCAGAAGCCAAAGGACAAATGTGAACTTGAGGACACTTCAAGCTTGGACAGCCAACTGGTCATCTGATGATCTCCAATAGCCTGTTCTCCCTAGCCTACTCAGTTATCACAGAGGCTAGCCATTCTTTTAAACAGACAACCAGAAGCCATCATTAAAATCTGGTATTTCTGATAGCAGAAGCTCATCAAACACACTGTACTGGTCTCAGGTGGATGGATGGACCTCAGGCTTGGGCACCCATGGGCTATGAGACTTAGTGATCAGAATCTGAGGGAGGGGGGGCTTACAAATCTCTGCAGGACTCCAGAACCAACTCCAGAAGCAATCACCAAAGCCGTAAGAGTGAAGGCACACCATTAAGAGATCGTCTAAAGGAATCCACACTGCCGTGTGGTTTCCTAGAAGTTGGAGACTCTAGAGGATAACTTTAAACCTATGGTACAGTACAGTGCCTGCCCCAGAAGCGGAGGGTGGGGTTGGTGGCTCCCTGGGATCTGGTCTGGAAGGTGCTCCCACAGGCTTCTCTTGTGAGGGTCTCCACAGCTGTGTTCGGAACCGGGGCTTCACTCTATTCACATTTCTAATGACATGGAGTTCTGTGGAAGCTTCCTTCCCTGGAAACTTGCTCTTCACAACAATTCCTAAGCAAACGGTGATAGGCAACAGGGTCAGAGATGGGACAGAAGAGGTCTGCAGGACAGCTCAAGAGGCACACTATTCTCCTTACAATGTTACAACACAGTCTTTTCTGCAGACTGATTAGACAAGACACTTTGATTTTAAATCTGTAGAGTTGGGCAGCCCCGGTGGTGCAGTGGTTTAGTGCCGCCTGCAGCCCAGGGCATGATCCTGGAGACCCTGGATCGAGTCCCACGTCAGGCTCTCTGTATGATGCCTGCTTCTCCCTCTGCCTGTGTCTCTGCCTCTCTCTCTCGGTCTCTATGAATAAATAAATAAAATCTTTAAAAAAAAATAAAAAAATAAATCTGTAGAGTTTTCAGAGCTTACAAAATTTACCACTGCATCTGATATGCACATGAAAGTCTGAGGACAGGCCTCGCCCTGCTGCCTGCAGCCACTCCAGTGCAAACCCCGGCACCAGAGATGAGGTTTGCCCATGCAGTACACCATGACAGGTGCGGGACTGCTGCACTCTTCCTGTGCTGGCCTCATGGTGGGGACATCCTCTAATGGGAAAGGCCTGTAAAAGTGTCCCAGTCCCAAGAAAAAGATGTAGAAACATTCTCAGCCTGGAGGACACCAAGGTGACAGGACAATTCAATATGACGGAAGGCTGCACTGGACCTCAGAGCAGAAAAGGCATGTCTGTGGGACAAGAGGCAATCCTCAAGGACACCCGCACCCTGGTCTTGGGCAAGCCAGCCTTCCTGGAAGCTTAGGGGAAGGTATGGAGGGACATATGGACTGCTTCTGCAATGGCTTCCTAAGTCTGAAATGATTTCAAAATGAGAGGTTCAAACAGAGTTCATCATTACTCACACATAATCCAACTCTGCATCCACACACTTGCCAAAAGACCCACCGTCCCAAATGGCAGGAGCACTTCAAAAAGGAAAACAAACACACCTATGTGGTTCTTTTAGAACCAGCAGTACTTTGAAAGAAAATTGTCTCCTTCATCTGCAATACTGAAAACAGAGACAGAATTCTGACTGAAGAAAAGTTAAAAGTGGATCTGCACCCTGGGCCCTCAGGGGACATCTGTGTGCCCACAGTTGAAGGCAGCATCATTCCAAGAGCCAAGGCACCGTTGGCGGGGAATGGAGAGACACAAGGGATCTGGCCACACAGTGGAGTATTATTCAGCCCTGAAAAGGAAGTCCTAGGATGCCTGGGTGGCTCAGTGGTTGAATATCTGCCTTCAGCCCAGGGCATAATCCTGGAGTCCTGGGATTGAGTCCCACATCAGGCTCCCTGCATGGAGCCTGCTTCTCTCTCTGCCTATGTCTCTGCCACTCTCTCTCTCTCATGAATAAATAAATAAATTTTTTTTTTAAGATTTTATTTATGGGCAGAGGGAGAGTTCCATAAGAGCAGGATAAATACTTGATTCTTTTTTTTTAATTATTTATTTATGATAGTCATACAGAGAGAGAGAGAGGCAGAGACAAGGCAGAGACATAGGCAGAGGGAGAAGCAGGCTCCATGCACTGGAAGCCCGACGTGGGATTTGATCCCGGGTCTCCAGGATCGCGCCCTGGGCCAAAGGCAGGCGCCAAACTGCTGTGCCACCCAGGGATCCCTCTTTTTTTTTTTTTAATAAATTAATTTTTATTGGTGTTCAATTTACCAACATACAGAATAACACCCAGTGCTCATCCCGTCAAGTGTCCCCCTCAGTGCCCGTCACCATTCACCCCCACCCCCCACCCTCCTCCCCCTCCACCACCCCTAGTTCATTTCCCAGAGTTAGAAGTCTTTATGTTCTGTCTCCCTTTCTGATATTTCCCACACATTTCTTCTCCCTTCCCTTATATTCCCTTTCACTATTATTCATATTCCCCAAATGAATGAGAACATACACTGTTTGTCCTTAAAAAAAAAAAAAAGGAAGTCCTAACACGTGCTACTGTGTGGAGGAACCCAGAGGACGTTATGCTGGGTGAGGCACAGAAGGACAAATGTGTAGGAGTCCACCCACATGAGAGTCCTAGAAGACGCAGACCCGGGGAGAGTGTGTGGCTGCCAGGGGCTGGGGAGTTCATGTTTAACGGGAACAGAGTTCCAGTCAGGGAAAATGAGAAGGTTCTAGAGATGGGCAGTAGCGGCAGCTGTACAATGAGAATGTACTTAATGTCACCAAAGAGAACATTTACAAATGGTTAAAATGGTAAAATATTATGTATATTTTACAATAAAAAACAGGGGCGCCTGGTAGGCTCAGTCAGTGAAGTGTGTGACTCTTGATCTCAGGGTTGTGAGTTTAAGCCTCATGTTGGGTGCAGACTTTACTTAAAGATAAAATCTTTAAAAAAAATAAATAAATAGGGATACAGGGGAGGCTGAGTCGGTTAAGCATTGACTCTTAGTTTCAGCTCAGGTCCTGATCTTGGGGTTGTGAGACTGACCCCCGTGTTGGGTTCCATGGTCAGTAGGGAGTCTATTGGAGATTCTCTCTCCCTCTCCCTCTGCCCTCCATCCCTGCTTGTGCCCAATACGTAAATAAAATCTTTAAAATTAATTAATTAATTAATTAAACATGCACTATTTAAAAAAAAGATCTTACAAAAGTAAGTGAAAAGAGAAACCATTCAGGGCACCTAGGTGGCTCAGTGAGTTAAGTGTCTGACTCTTGGTTTCGGCTCAGATCATGATCTCAGGGTCCTGAGATCAAGCCCTAGGTTGGGCTTTGTGCTCAGCGTGCAGTCTGTTGCAGATACTCTCTCACTCTGTTCCCATCCCACCCCCTCCTCCCATCATGCTCTCTCTCTCGCTAGCTCTAAAATAAATCTTAAAGAAAAGAAACCATTCCATGTCACTCACAACCCTAAGATCAGGAGTCCACCGACTAGGGCAGCCAGGTGCCCCATGTCACCTTTATTTCACTGTGCAGCAGACACACACACAATACAATCCCCTGGGTGTATCTAAGACTGAGAACAGTGTCATGATCTGCCCTGAACTTTGTGCTTCCAGGTTTTCCTTTCTTTGCTACTATTACCTTGACTCTTTAGCATTAAAACCTGTGTTTCTGGAGTGCAGCAAGGTAACACACACCTCTGAAACTGGCCTGGTCTCATTACTACCTACTGAAGAGTGCAGAGAACACCCGTGCCTGTGACCAGTGGTATGGTGGAGAAACAGTGACTGTAGGAAAATGAAATGCCTGTGAGCATCACTGCAAGGTTCCAGAACAATACACACCAGTCACATGGTCTATCTAGAAGAAACCTTCCCCTGCCCAAGAGCAGGCTGGGAGTGTCGGGCACCCACCGTCCATTTCCACCAGAAGTTGGTTGAGTGTCTGCTCTTCCTCTGTGTTGGAGAAGCCAGACATGGTGGTAGAGCGCTTCTTGCCCACAGCATCAATCTCATCAATGTACACAATGCAGGGGGCCCGGGCCCGGGCTTCCTTGAAGAGGCTCCGCACACGGGCAGCGCCAAGGCCTAGGGCAACATAGAGGACCAGGAGTTGGACAGGTAATGGGAGATGAGCCCAACTCTTATTCCAGGGGCCAGAGCTGCCCACTGAGGATGACAAGGTCTCACAGGATCATCCTAGTGGATGCTCACCCCCCTGGACTCTCCAGGCTAAGCGTGGAAGTGGTTTCAAAGAATATCACTACCCAATTCTCTCCATAAATGTGTCACAGATTTCACGTATCCTTCTCTGTCCCCCATGTCTTCATCTATCTGGCCGCCTAAGGAAGGGTATGTGATGACAGAGCCATCCTGCACAAATGGTCCGGCAAACCTATCCACAGCCCCCCAGGCAATACCAACCTCCAATGACCTCCACAAACTCTGGGCCCGCCATCGCCAAGAAGGGCACCTGGGCCTCTGTTGCCACCGCCTTGGCCAGAAGTGTCTTTCCACAGCCAGGGGGCCCAAGCAATAGCGCACCTTTTGGGACTTTGGCACCAAGCTGAAGAAATCGCTCTGGGCTCTGGAAAAGCAGCAGATAATGACACAAGTCACAGGTGTTTCAGAGAGAATTTTTAAAACAGGACTCACATGGAGATCAGCTCATGTATTGTCATTAATCAGCTATGGTTTGTGTGGTTCTGAGAAAAGCAGGGAGCTACGGCAGTGACCAGGTGTCCCAGATGGCTCATGGTGCAGTCAGTGATGGGCTCTTGGCCCTTCTACTGGTTTAGCTGCACACTCAGCCTGCACTGCTGGCTTAGCAAGCACCATCAGACATTGCCTGACTAGTGTAATTCTTCCCTCAAGAATGGAGCTCATGGGCAGCCCCTGTGGTGCAGCGGTTTGGCGCCGCCTGCAGCCTAGGGCGTGATCCTGAAGACCCTGGATTGAGTCCCACGTCAGGCTCTCTGCATGGTGCCTGCTTCTCCCTCTGCCTGTGTCTCTGCCTCTCTCCCTCTCTCTCTCTCTCTCTCTGTGTGTGTGTGTGTGTGTGTGTGTCTCTATGAACAAATAAATAAAAAAAATCTTTAAAAAAAAAAGATACATTTAAAAAAAAAAGAATGGAGCTCATGTCTGCCTCCTGCTTGGCACATGCACCTACCTTCAGATAATCCACAAACTCTTTGACTTCTAGTTTGGCTTCATGCATTCCTGCTACATCTTTGAAGCTGACTCCTTTCCCCATCTTGCCATCCACAATTGTGAAACGAGCCATTTTAAGCTGATTCTGGGCAGAAAGAACAAAGGGCAGGGTGCTGTGCACTCCTAGCACAAAGGGGAAGAAAAGCACCCCTGGGCTGGGCCTGCATCCCTGGGGCCCCATCTTCCCTTGGCCCAGGCTCTCATCTCCCACAGCTCCTCCCCTTATTCAGACAGATGGGACTTAACATCACCTTTCAGGCTTACAAGGGGAAATGTTTACTGTGCATTATTAACAGAAAATTATCTAGCATCTAGCAATTTGGCTTTTAAAAAAACCCACATAGGGATCCCTGGGTGGCGCAGCGGTTTGGCGACTGCCTTTGGCCCAGGTCGTGATCCTGGAGACCTGGGATCGAATCCCATGTCGGGCTCCCGGTGCATGGAGCCTGTTTCTCCCTCTGCCTATGTCTCTGCCTCTCTCTCTGTGTGTGACTATCATAAATAAATAAAAAAAAATTAAAAAATAAAAATAAAAAAACCCACATAAACCACCCCCTATACAAACAATGTAATTTAACGCCTCTTGCACATGAACTATATTTTTCTATACAACTTTTCCCAGTACTGTGGAACTCTGATTATAAAAGTAATGTAATAACACTGGGCTCTGGAAAGGTTTGGTAGAAATGTTAGATGGTAAATTTCTGGAGAGCCATCAGGCAAGATAAAGCGCTCAGTGAGGGGAGCAAACTTGAGCTGAACTCTGCCTCAGGAAGCACACCAGGTGATGGTCGGGCACCCAAAGGACGCTTGTACACTGGATTTATCACAGTACTATTTAAATACAACAATAAAAATAAATAGCCCCAAATATACAAGACTGGTGAAACTGGCTGAGTAAAATACAACACAGTCCCACAATGAGACACCATTAAAAGGGTGTGAGTCTTTAGCTACAGACAGGAAAACCCTCCTGGTCTCAGTAGAAACCTGTCTCGGTTCCCAGAGAGGTGACCAGGAGGTGCCCTCTGCAGACTTGCTACAACCAGGTTTCAGGTCTCTCCCTGGCACCTCTGCTGATGGGCTAACTGGCCATATCCCACACGCCACAGAGGGAAAGTTCATGTGACAACAAAAGCCACAATAGGAGAATTTTTTTTCTAAGTAATCTGTACCTTCAACTTGAGTCCTGAACTCAAGACCCCAAGATCAAGCATCACACGTTCTTTTGACTGAGCCAGCCAGAAGCCCCAGGAGAATGGTTTTAAAGTATATTAAGGTTTGGGGTGCCTGGCTGGCTCATTCAGTAGAGCATGCGATGCTTGGGTTTTGAGTTCAAGCCTCGCATGGGTGTAAAGATTACTTAAAAAAAAAATAAAATCTTTAAATAAAATAAAACATAAAGACAACCTTTAAAAATTTCTGTGTCTGGGCAGCCCTGGTGGCGCAGCGGTTTAGCGCCGCCTGCAGCCCGGGGCGTGATCCTGGGGACCCTGGATCGAGTCCCACATCAGGCTCTCTGTATGATGCCTGCTTCTCCCTCTGCCTGTGTCTCTGCCTCTCTCTCTGTCTCTATGAATAAATAAATAAAATCTTTACAAAAAAAAAAATAAAATAAAAAAATAAAAAATAAATAAAAATTTCTGTGTCTTAGCTAGGAGGAGAAACCAAAAAATAAGTCATGCTCAGCTCCTGAAAAACTGCAGAATAAACTGGCCTATACACTTGCTTGGCTCTGCTGTCCCAGGAGTCAGGGAGAGAGAGGCCTCAGGTACATCCCCCAGTTAGCCAAGCAGCCTAGCTGCCCAGGCCACAGCTCCAGGCTGGCCATCGTGACAAGATAATTTTCACTGTACACTTACTCTGTGGTATATGTGAGGTGTATTCAGCAAGCACAAGCACAAACCTTAAAACCACAAGTTCGGTGAGACAGGATTTTCATAACTTACAAAAGCACTGAGTCCTCCTTCCCTTCCCGTCATTCCAGCGAGACGGAACACATACCACAGAATGGCCAGGCCCACTGCAGTCATCCCCAGGGCGTAGAGGGCACTAGCGGGAGAGAGAGGCAGTCATGGCAGCTCATAGATGCGACTCACAAAGTCAGGGGTTACCGATGCTTCAAAGAGGAGAAAAGCAACTCCCACTCTGAGAAGTATGCAGAACTGGTTGTGAAATGGGTATCCTTATCCAATTCTTTTTTGTATCCTTTTTCCACATTGTCACATGGAGCATGTAAAGGCCAGAGACAGCAGCTCACCATGGTGGAGCCCACACACTGACCCTGTCACCTAGAGCCTTTTAATAATGCCCAACAAGAACAGATTTTCATGTTTGATATATTTTGTTTTCAAAAGTAGGCCATCAGGGACTCCTGGATGGCTCAGTTGGTGAAGCATCTGCCTTCAGCTCAGGTCATGACGCTGGGGTCCTGGGATCGAGTCCCATGTCTGTCTATATGCTCAGCAGGGAGCCTGCTTCTCCCTCTGCCTCTGCCCCTGCCCCTCCCCACCCCCTGCTCATGCAAGCACGCTCTCTCAGTCTCTTTCTCTCAAATACATGAATAATAATAATAATTATCATTATAAAGCAGGCCACCAGTTTTGGTTTGTAAGGCAAAATAAGCAGAGCAGTAAAAAAAGTAAACCCTAGGGCACCAGCCATACCTCCTGCCATTCCCTACAGTACACCAGCCCTGGAGCCCTGTACCTTCAGGAGAGACCCGTCATTTTTCAGGAGTGCCTGCCAGTCACTGGCATCCCACATTTTCTGAGTGTGGGCATATCTCCATGAGTCAACAGTGAACCTCTGCCCATGAGTTCCAGCCAGTTGGCCCCAGCATGCTGTTAAATACCCCTGGGACTCTGTGAATTACTGTGCTCCGCTAAGGGAGACTGGCAGGTCCCAGGGGCCTAACCGGGTCCCCATTTCCATCTGCCACACAGAAGCAAGAATTTCTTTTCCTTTTTTTTTTATATATATTTATTTATTCATGAGGGGGGCAGGGCAGAGACACAGGCAAAGGGAGAAGCAGGCTCCATGCAGGGAACCCTATGCAGGACACGATCCCGGGTCTCCAGGATCACGCCCTGAGCTCAAGGTGGCGCTAAACCGCTGAGCCACCAGGGCTGCCCAGAAGCAAGAATTTCTATTGGACGTCCCCGCTTCTCCCCTTTCTGTTTCCCCGTTTGTACAAGATGGCAGCCCCACAATGTGCTGAATTAAGAACTGCCAGAGACAACTAAACAAAGTGAAAGACTCACCAACAGGCCCATGGACACCCCCTCCCCCACCATGTGTGGTCACTGGCTCACACACTTACACTCCCACACGAGGGCTGCTTTACTGTAGGCCAAGCCAGTGTGAGATGTTTGTGGTTTGTTATCACATTACAAAGACAAGCCTGGTTTAGTTCAAGAGCCAAAACAATGACCAACATACTTTCCAAAAAATCCTGTCCGCTTATAGGAAACCGGAATCCTGTCCTTGCCTTCAATATTTAGCATGTCTTCAGCAGCTCGGAGCTTCTCCTCAAACCTGTCGATGTTTGCCACCTGCATCCGGTACATCAAGGCCAGCCGCTGGGGGCAGAGAGCAGAGGCAGTGCAGGTGACAAACAGGTCAGCTGAGGACAGCCTTTAGGCACAGCATTCACACCCTGCAGGGCTCCAGAGGCAGCAACCTCTGTCTGCCATTCAGAATCCTTTTCCAGATCACAATGACAACAAATTCTCAACACATGTGCTGGCTCTACTTTCACTAACAGGTGCATTTTAAGAAAATGGAGGGTGGGCCCTATGCTTTAAACTCATCACCCAGCCTCAGCTGTGCATGCAGAGCACAGAGACACATGACAGACATGAGGTACTTGCTGGGTTGTAGGCAACCCACCAAGACAAGAAACACAGGTTTGCTGCTTGACCATTGCCTAAATCTAAAATTCAGCGGTGGATTTCTCTCTTTCTCAGTAGAAAGAGGGCTAGAAAAAGGTAGAAAAAGGGCTCAGGGAGAGTGAGCAGGTAAAGTATCTTGAAGTGACATCACTGCCTCCTCCAGGGGTACAGGCTTCACTGAGAGGAGGCTCCATAGCAAGCCAGATATCCACACTGGGTCCCCCAATCCCTTTTCTGTGAGCTGACCTGAGTCACCCAGCAAGGGGCCATTCTGATGATCTCCATTGGCGTGGACAGCATCATACCAGTCCTGTATCATTCTCCTAAGGACCTGGTCCAAATATTTCTTAGAATTAAGCTGTCCCATACTCAGCTTCTAAATACACTGTGCAATCTACATGGAGCAACCAGATACTCCCCTTGCTCTTAAGAGCCTCAGAAGATTCCTTGTGGAATGAGCGGCTGGCCAGGCTGCATGTCACAGGGTCACAGGCCAGATGGGAGAAGCAGATGGGGGTACCCACCAGCCAAAACACACTGATCGTAGTCTGCATGGGAACACCTGGTGGCCTCAGTTGCTTAAATAACCTAATAGACCTCTAAACGCCTGATCTGGACTTTATACATGCCTCTGTCACTCAAACACCTGCCTGGCCATGTAAATAGAACAGAAAAAACTAGCAATGATCTTCTTTTTATGCCAGGTGCCAAGAGCAAAATGTCTGATTCCAGAAGCCAAATCAACTCCCATGTCTTTTCTTTGTCGGGGCCTGGACCATCCACTTGCTTCTGCAAGGTCACCCAGGTCACCTCGTACACAGGGCCGGGAGAAGCCTGTCATCCCCAACTAAGTTACAAGCTCTTGTAAATTGACAACCAGCTGCAAACAAGGTGCTTGGCACTCAGCCCTATCCAGAACCCAAGCAGGAGCTGGGGTATTAAAAGGGCATGCTCTGAGGCAACCCTGATGCTGTTGTAAGGGACAGAGCACTACGCCCAAGAGTACACCTGTGCTCCACCAGAGCGAAGTAAGTCCACATTGGACACCTGTCTCCCATCATTTAAAAAAGGAGACTACAGAAACGTGACAACTAAATACAATTCATGGTCCTTGATGGGACCCTGGATTAAAAATACTAATAAGGGTGCCTGGGTGGCTCAGTGGATTAAGCATCCCACTCTTGATTTCAGGGTCATGAGTTCAAGTCCCACACTGGCCTCCACACTGGTGGAGCCTACTTAAAAAAATAATAAAATAAAATACTAATAAAACAGTTCTTAATGTCACTATAGAGATGACTAGGGAACAGGATCAGGAAAAATGCTTCAAAAGATATTCTCGCATCACTATCTTTCCTGGGCCTCCCAGCAGTGTGGTTACAGGGTAAGGAGGACAGTTTAAAAATCCCACAGCAGGGTTTTTAGTCAGCTTCTGGGGCCCAGTGCCCCTACCCCTGATGCCCAGCCCTCTCCCTGGGACCAAATCCCACCTTCCTGACCCCTCCTCTGGTGAGCATGCGGGAGCCTCCCGGGGGACCTGAGGTGGGGAGGTGAAGGGGTCCTGCTAACTTGCTCTTCCCTCCTCTTGAGGGACAGGTCTCTGACCCCACCTCTTAGCTACCCTCACCGTGCCCCAGAGAATCTCCTGGACACTCCCCAGAAGCTCCCAAAGCTGCACTGGGTGCTCATCTACAGCCAGCACCAGACCCAGGTGTCCTCAGGGCCACAGCTGCAGGCCCCCAAGACCCCCCCTCCAATTCCAGCTTGTCTCAGGGCAGTGGGGACAGAATAAAAAGGAGCTCTGCCCTGACTCACAGGCCGCCCGAACACCACAGCTCCAGGGTGCAGATACACTTCCACCACGTCGCTCTCCGGCACCACCTGCACGCGCTGTACCTCACCCTTGGCCAGCATCTCGTGGACAAAATCATTCCAGGAAATGTTGCCTCCGCTGGTGCTGAGTGCGTTCAGCAGGCTCATGACCACAGCGATGACAAACAAAGTGCGCAGCCGCTCGCGGTACATCTGGTCCTCTCTCTCCTTGCGTCTCCTCTCCTCTGCAAGCAGGGCAACCGGAGGAGCATCAGACACAGGCTGCAGGCAGGGCATCAGGACAGCCCAGCCACAAGAAGGCCAACCAAGCCTGCTGGCCAACTTCCAACAGGTGATTCGAGCCACACACCATTACCTGAGGTCCCGTCTACTCAGAATCAAAAGCTTCCTATCTCCACAGTATGCCCCCCACCACAGGCACACTGGACCCCCTGGCCTGGCAGGATCATGAAGGATGTGTGTGGCACACATGCAAGTTATTAATAACAATGAAACATGGGATCCCTGGGTGGCGCAGCAGTTTGGCGCCTGCCTTTGGCCCAGGGCGCGATCCTGGAGACCCAGGATCGAATCCCACGTCGGGCTCCCGGTGCATGGAGCCTGCTTCTCCCTCTGCCTATGTCTCTGCCCCTCTCTCTCTCTCTCTGTGTGTGACTATCATAAATAAATAAAAAAATTAAAAAAAAAAAAACAATGAAACACATTTTACCACAGTCTGCCATCCCCTGCCCAACAGCCACCTATCCTGAACCTGTTCATTGTCAGGAAACATTTGAAAATAGTACATTTAAAAAGTTTAGTCTAAAAAAATAATAATAATAAAAAAATAAAAAGTTTATTAGTCTGTGGACCTATGGTGGGGACCACTTAATTCAAGAATGTTCCCAAAGAGGGGCGCTTGGGTGGCTCAGTGGTTGGGCATCTGCCTTCGGCTCAGGGCATGATCTCGGTGACCTGGGATCGAGTCCCACATCGGGCTCCCTGCATGGAGCCTGCTTCTCCCTCTGCGCAGGTCTCTGCCTCTCTCTCTGTGTCTCTCATAAATAAACAAAATCTTTAAAAAAAAAAAAAAAAGAATGTTCCCAAAGACCAAGTGTTTATCCAAACCATTAGCTAAATTCCCCCCCCATCACATTATTCAGTTATTCATGCCCTTCTTAGGGTACAGACTGCATCATGCCCAGTTCTTGGGGAGGGGGGGCAGACAGACAGGAAACTCAGCCCCTGACCTTAGGGACAGACACCCAGGGAGGTAGTAGCGCATGGAGGCTGACATTACAGGCGAGTAGCACCAGGCATAAGGAACCGGGAGAAGCAGCAATCATCATGGCCACCACTGGGAGGACTGGGGGGACATTGAGGACCACAGGAGTCACCTCCCTCAGGGCCAGAGCACAGACGGGAGGGTCCTGCTTACAGCCACCAAAGGTTGGGCCACAGTCTTCCTCCCAAACCAGCCAGATAGGCCCCTGCCCTGCTGCGGATAAGAGGGTGTTCTCTGCATCTCATTTACATGATGTGCCCTATCACCTCACTGACCTGCCCAGCCCAGTCCTTAGAAGCACCAGATACCTGCAGTGACACACCAAGAGGCCTGGACTACTGTCAGGGCCATCCTCCCAACACTCCATCCAGACTTAATCAGATCTGTCATTATGTCCAGTCCCTCACCAGTCCTGCCCAAGACAGCCCTGCCATATCTTAACAACCAAAGCTTCTACCATTTACTTCTCCTGCCTGCACAGACAGAAGCATCCACTCCGGGAAGAGCAGAGACCTGGTTACAGGAGCAGGAGGGCCCCACACAGACATGGGGCTCAGCTCAAGCTATACGTGTGATCACTTCTCCAAGGACAAGATCACAGCTGGAATTCAGTATCCACCCACTTCCGTCGGCCCTACCTATAGGTGTACCATCCACAAACACACTGGCTTCCTCTCTATCAGTTTAGAGGAACTGAAAAGCATTTTAAATCAGCTTAAAAATGCAAAATGAGGGGATCCCTGGGTGGCACAGCGGTTTGGCACCTGCCTTTGGCCCAGGGCGTGATCCTGGAGACCCGGGATCGAATCCCACGTCGGGCCCCAGTGCATGGAGCCTGCTTCTCCCTCTGCCTGTGTCTCTGCCCCCCTCTCTCTCTCTCTGTGACTATCATAAATAAATAAATAAAAATTAATTTTAAAAAAATGCAAAATGAATCTTACAGAGAAACCTGTGTCAGCAATCATTCTGAAAACGTGAAAGCACATTTCACGTGTTATGTGATATGGTATCGGACTATAAGAGCAAATTTAATATTTATAGTGCATAGTAACAACAAGCAACGAAATGAAGGTACCATTTGTCTTGGAAAGCAAATTTATGTTCTCAGGTGAGTAGGTAATTATTTAGAAACCATTTAATTTTCTATTAGTCTATTTAACCCCCAGTCTTGTGTTCTAATTAACAAAGTTGACAGTCATCAAACATGGCAAGCCACGTGACACTGGATCAGTAGGATGAAAGTTTCTCTGTCAGAAACTCTGCATGATAGATAGGATCCGAGACCCTGAAATTGTGCGCACATCCCCAAGCTCCTGGCCAGTGGCTGCAGTCCAGAAACCACTGGCAGGCCATGTGGCAACAATGAGTTTCCTCACTGCTCTGCCTGCCACAGCATCACACCCATGTGGAAAAGGGCTTGCAGCAGTTCTATAACTCACACACATCTGTTTGCAGAATGTGAACCAGATCTATGATTTTTAAAAGATATGGCTTGGTTTCATTTATTTAAAAAACATTTCATCTATTTTTTCAAGTAATCTCTATACCCAATGTGGGGCTCAAAGCCACAAACCTGAGATCAAGAGTCACATGTTCCACCGAGCCAGCCAGGAACCCCAGATATGGATTGATTTTTTTTTTTTTAAGATTTTATTTATTTGGGACCCCTGGGTGGCTCAGCAGTTAAGCGTCTGCCTTCAGCTCAGGGAGTGATCCTGGAGTCTCAGGATTGAGTCCCAAATCAGGCTCCATGCATGGAACCTGCTTCTCCCTCTGCCTGTGTCTCTGCCCCCCGTTCTCTCTCTCTCTCTCTGTGTCTCTCATGAATAAATAAAATCTTAAAAAAATTTATTTATTTATTCATGAGAGAGAGAGAGGCAGAGACATAGGCATAGAGAGAAGCAGGCTCCATGCAGGGAGCCCGACGTGGGACTTGATTCCAAGTCTCCAGGATCACGCCCTGAGCTGAAGGCAGACACTCAACCACTGAGCCACCCAGGCGTCCCTGGCTTGGTTTTAAATAATAGATAGTTCTGCACTTTTTTGTAAGAATTTCGAAATAAAACAACAGCTTGGATTTAGGTTACAATAAACACCTCTTCTTTCTTCACAAAAATCCAACCCTTTTTGGGGCACCTGGGTGGCTCAGTAGGTTAAGCATCTGCCTTTGGCTCAGATCATGATCCCGGGGTCCTGGGATCGAGCTCGCTCTCTCTCTCCTTTCTCTTTCTCTCTCAAATAAATAAAACCTTTAAAAAATAAATCCAACCCTTTTCAAATAAAAACCAGCCAGACAGGGATGCCTGGGTGGCTCAGTAACTGAGTGACAGCCTTTCAGCTCTGGGCGATCCCAGAGTTCTTGGATTGAGTCCCACATCGAGCTCCCTGCATGGAGCCTGCTTCTCCTCCCTCTGCCTATGTCTCTGCCTCTCTCTCTGTCTCTTGTGAATAAACAAATCTTAAAAAAAAAAAAAATAATAACCACCAGCCAGATGTTCTGACACACATGGAACTGGCCTGTTTCAGGGAAAAGGGTCTGCCTGACCAGGTCCAGAGGCTGCATACCTCATTATAAGAGGGCTCTCCAGGCTAAGGAGCAGGGAGGTCCCAACCCAGAGTGGAACCTACTCTGAAGCTCCAGGACGGTTCACTGAGGTCAGGTTATAACTATTTGCATGTTTCAATATAACTCATATTCTGGCTTCTGAGCCCAAATCACCCTGGGTACCAGGGAGATGGAGCGGTACGCCCCCCTCCAGATAGGACCTCACAGAGAGGGCTGTACCAGCAGCAGACATCTGGTCATGTGCTTTGTCCATTTGCGCTAACCCAGGCCCACAAGATGCAGAGAACTGGCCCTGCACACGCTGTCAAGGGGTATGAATGAATAAGCCCTCCTGAAAGCTATTTGGCTGAGTGTGTCAGGAGCCACAGAAAACACTGTTCCCTTAACTCACTAACTGTACTTCTGAAACTTCAGCCCAAGGAAATCCAATGTAAAAACACACCAGGTGGGCTCAGTCAGTGGAACCTGCAACTCTTCATCTCAGGCTCATGGATTTGAGCCTCACATTGGGTGTAGAGGTTACTGAAAAACAAATCTTAAAAAAAAAAATTTTTTTTTTTAAACAAGCAAACAAAAACCCCACGTATCTGTGGCGTTGGTCAGGAATGAAATTATGAGGGCCAGTCTGAGAAAGACAAAAGAGGACCGGTAAAGGAAGATGCAGGTATGAGACAGAGGATTGGCTACATGAAAGTAAGATGCTTGAGGTCTGAGATAAAACAAAATCTGACCCTCAGATTCTAACCAGAAAATGGTCTTTCATCACTCTAGATGTAGAAGACCTCTCCTGTCCCTGGAAGACCCCCTTCCTCCACTGCCCCTCTGGGGCTGCACTGCATCCCACAGCATCTGTGAAGACAGCCCTCAGGTGCTTTGCTCCCTGTGGTGCACATCTACTTTGGCATCTGACACAAAGAACAGGCTTGGAGAGAGCCAAGGACTAAGCCCAGGAAACACTGCTGCCTCCTGGCCACCCGACTGTCCACCCACTGGACAGAACTCCCAGAAACTCTGGTGCCAAAAATCTCTCTTAGGGGGATGGCATCTATCACTACTAGGGAGCCTTGCATCACCCACCTGTAGACAGGTCAGTAACCAACACGCCTGAGTTCCAGGGAGACAGCTACCAGAGCTGCCCCAGGCTTTCAGTCCAGAAATCCTTCTAGAAGAACTTATTCCCACTAACCCTGAACATATGCACTGCGGTGAGAAGCTTCTAAGGATCACGGTGACAATCCAGTTCTATCTCCAACAGTCATCTGGTGCTGGTCCTGACCCAGATGGAGAGGCAACTCCACAGCATACTCAGGGTGTTCTCAATTCTCAGGGACATGAGGCACTAACATAAAAGTTGTCTGGAAATTCCAGCAACTGCTTTTTCAGCTAAACTTTTTATTTCGCGATACTGTAGATTTTATGCATATTCATAAGCAGTAATAAAAAACTATCCTTTGGTTGCTTCCAGCAGTAACTTTTTTTTTTAAAAGATTTTATTTATTCATGATAGACATAGAGAAAGAGAGAAAGAGAGAGAGAGAGGCAGAGACACAGGCAGAGGGAGAAGCAGGCTCCATGCCGGGAGCCCGACGCGGGACTCGATCCCGGGACTCGATCCCGGGACTCCAGGATCACACCCTGGGCCAAAGGCAGGCGCCAAACCGCTGAGCCACCCAGGGAGCCCCCAGCAGTAACTTTTTACAAACCCGACAGTGACACAGCTCCTGGCCCTATGCAGACCCCTCCAGCTGACACGTGCTCTTACGTGTGTGTTAGTTTTGTGCACTTTTTAAAAAGAGAGTAGGGTAAAATATTTCTTTTTTGTAAGTAACCTCCGACCCCCCACATGGGGCTTGAACTCACAATCCCAAGATCAAGACTTGCCTGCTCCACAGACTGAGCCAGCCAGGCGCCCTGTCCTGTGTACTTTTACCAGATATCTACTGCCAGTGAAGATATACAGGCGTTCCATCCCACGAGGGCTGCCCAGAGCCTAGGCCCTGCCAACATAATCTGCTTGCCACCTCTGCAACTGTCCCTGGAGAATGTTCTATAAATGGGAACCATATCGTAAACAATCTTTCGGGATTGGCTCTTTTCATTCAAGAGTGTCAGCAGGGGCACGTGGGTGGCTCAGTTGGTGAAGTGTCTGCCTTCCGCTCAAGTCATGATCCCAGGGTCCTGGGATGGAGCCCCATGTTGGGCTCCCTGCTCAGTGAGGAGTCTGCTTCTGCTTCTGCTTCTCCCTCTCCTCTCCTCACCTCCCCCACTCATGCTTGCTCTCTCTCAAGTAAATAAAAATCTTAAAAAAAAAAAAAATTATCAGCAGGTCTAAGGATAAGACACTGAGCTGTGCCTCCTGTATGCAGTCAGGTTATAGGACCTTCCGGGCGAAACTAAACTAACAAATAGACAAATCACAAAAAGAAGGCAGAGAAGACACAGACACACTAAATGTGTGCAACTGTTAGATGGAGCAAGGGAAGGATTGACATTGACTTTTGCTGCTATTATCCCTTGCACATTACTGGCTGATGGTGCTGTGACAGGGAGCACACTTGGTAAGCACACAGTCCAGCATCTATGGTGTGCCAAGCAGCCAGTCATTCCTTCAGAAATCAGAATTATCAGCGGAACCAAGCACGTGCCTGAGTAACTGGGTCGCACATGCAAGGCAGGCTGCAAGCCCTCCCTCCACCCACTGCCTCTTCCTTCACAAAACCCTTCATCATTCTTTCTTTCACTTAGGAAGGCCTTTCCCATTTTGAGATACAAAATATTCCCCCAAGTTTTTCCATAATTATTTTATAGTTCTGCTTTTTAGATTTAACGATTTAATCTATCCAGAATTTATTTTGGTACATGTGATGTAGTCTCTCCCCAAGTAACAGCAACTATTCCAAACCATTTCATACACAATCCTCTTTTCTGCTACTGCGTGAAATGCCACTATAGTGACATATGAATTCTAAAATGAACCATACTCTGCTTCTGGATTTTCTATTTTGTTCCATTAAACTACCTACCTATTACCAGACCAACACATTACTTTGGGGGAGAAAAAAATTTAAAACAAAAATTTTTTTAAGATTTAATTTATTTATTCATGAGAGACACTGAGAGAGGCAGAGACATAGGCAAGGGAAGAAGCAAGTTCCCTGCAGGGAGCCTGATGTAGGACTCAATCTCAGGACTCCATGATTACACCCTGAGCCAAAAGCACACGCTCAACCCCTGAGCCACCCAGGTGCCACAGGGGAGAAAAAAATTTAATATCTACCACTATCACCCTCACTGGCATTTGTTTTTCAAAATCCTATAAATTTTTTGATGTGCCAAACCCTCATCCTCCACCCATGAAAACCTTTGAACTCAGAAGCTTTCTGAGGAAGAGCCAAGCTCCCCAGGAGCTCTCTTGGTAAGATACGAGTGACTGCCAAAAGGGATGCCCTGTGAAGCCTGAAATCAGGAATGTCTAAACTGAACCCAAACAATGGCCACAGGTTTCCAGGAGCTAAGATCTGTTCCTAAAGAGCTGGAAATTGTGGGGACACCTGGCTGGCTTAGGCGGTGGAATGTGCAACTCTCGATCATAGGGTCATGAGTTTGAGCTCCCCTTTGGGCATAGAGATTACTTTAAAAATAATAAAAAAAATAAAATAAGTAAAGCAAAACAAAATCAGCACCTAAGTAAGAGGGAGTTCCTTGACAAGACAACCATTTCTCTACCTGTGTGTCCTTCTGGAGACTCTGCACAGGACAGGCATCTGATATCCTCGTGTATAAAAAGGGGACAATACCAGGGCAATTATGGGGAGAGAATTAATTGAAAAGATGTATTAATCACTTAGTACAGGGGATCCCTGGATGGCGCAGCGGTTTTGCGCCTGCCTTTGGCCCAGGGCGCAATCCTGGAGACCCGGGATCGAATCCCACGTCGGGCTCCTGGTGCATGGAGCCTGCCTCTCCCTCTGCCTATGTCTCTGCCTCTCTGTGTGTGTGACTATCATAAATAAAAATAAATAAATAAATAAAAAATAAAAAATAAAAATAAAAAATCACTTAGTACAGTGCTGAGCACACTCTGGACATTGCTGTAGTTGGCAGTTTCCATTGTCATTAGCTCCAAGCAGCCAGCTTTTACTTTAGGGTCAATTTGGTTGAAACTGACCTTTTTTCCCCATCACCCCTTTGCCTGATCAGAGTCCTAATTCTGTAGCAGATGAGACTCAAGATTTTTTTTTTCTCTTTTTTTTAAGATTTTTATTTATTTATTCATGAGAGACACAGAAAGAGGCAGAGACAGGAGAAGCAGGCTCCGAGCAAGGAGCCCGATATGGGAGTCAATCCTGAGACTCCAGGATCAAGCCCTGAGCCAAAGGGAGATGCTCAACCACTGAGCCACTCAGGTGTCCCAAGACTCAAGATTTTCAAGTGAGGTTGTTGTGAACTGGGGCTATAGCAGGGGCCAACTGGCACAGAGTGGTCACTCACACAGGATAGCGACGTGTCCCACTCCTTGCTCAAGACCACGCACTGAGGGATCCCTGGGTGGCTCAGCGGTTTAGCGCCTGCCTTTGGCCTGGGGTGTGATCCTGGAGTCCTGGGATCAAGTCCCACATCAGGCTCCCTGCATGGAGCCTGCTTCTCCTTCTGCCTGTATCTCTGCCTCTCTTTCTCTCTCTCTCTCTCTCTGTGTCTCTCAGGAATAAATAAATAAAATCTTAAAAAAAAAAAAAAAAAAAGACCATGCACTGTACCAGCCTTTCCTCTGGGGGCTGCTTCTCAAGTCAACACATAATCAGGAGTGTGTGTGGGGTGGGTTCAACTAAGGTGTCCTGGTGCCTTCCTCCCAACCCCAGAACACTTGAGTACAAGGCAGATGTGAGATTGCACTCTTTCCATGCAGAGAATAGTAACTCTGGCTGCCTTTAGATGTCTGGACCTGACAAGGGACACAGGTGCTGATGGAACCATCTCTAAAAGGACAGGCAGGAAAAGATCCAGTAATCACATTAAAGATTGAGGGTAGGTGTGCTTAGGGTAAGGGAGACACAGGTGCCAGGATTCACCCTACGTTTTTAAAATTTTTTTTTGAGAGACAGCCGGGGCAGGGAGAAGGGGCAGAGGGAGAGAGAATCTTAAGCAGACTCCTCACTGAGCATGAAGACTGAAGTGGGGCTTGATCTCAGGACCCTGAGGTCATGACCTCAGCCAAAACCAAAATTTGGATGCCTAACTGAATGAGCCCCCCAGGCACCCTTGGGTTCACCCTACTTCTTAGATTTCCTGTTGCTGAGACCAGAATACACATGTGAAGACAGCCAAGGTAGCCATTATTTAAGAAAGTCAAATAGGTATACCTTCATCATCTTCAGGGGTCCTCCCCTTAGATTTATCATTGTCCTTAGTCTTTTGCTTCATCCTGGAGGTGTTAAAATAGCAAGTGCCACCTGTAAGGAATAGGGAACATGTCAACAAGATCTGCCACTACAGGGGAGCATCAGGAGAAGAGTGCATTCTTTAATAACCAAACCAAAACAGAAGCCATCTGAAACCTACATGCCTAAGATCTAGAAGTTTGTAGTAATCACTCTTAGTATAGTAACTGCTAATTATAGAATAATAAACTACTTCAACCTAAAGAATACCTTTGTAATTCAAATTAGCAATGCAGGGATCCCTGGGTGGCACAGCCCTTTAGCGCCTGCCTTTGGCCCAGGGCACGATCCTGGAGACCCAGGATCAAATCCCACGTCGGGCTCCCGGTGCACGGAGCCTGCTTCTCCCTCTGCCCATGTCTCTGCCTCTCTCTCTCTCTCTCTCTCACTGTGTGACTATCATAAATAAATAAATAAAAATTAAAAAAAAATAGCAATGCAAAGGAAAAAAACTTATGACCATATACTGAGCAAGTCTCATGAGTTTGGTGGAGAACAACCCCTTCTATACACACACTTTATTTTTTTTTTTCACACAGTCACTTTAAATGAATTTAAACAAAAAAAATAAAAAATAAAAAAAAATAAATGAATTTAAACAAATGAGCAACATGGTGGTTTGACATGTGCAGCAGTAACAGCAACCCAGTGGCCACCATCACCAGGACACAACACTTCTCACATGAAAGGCTCTGTCTTGTCCACTGTCTAATTAAATTAATGTTTAAAAGGAGAAGAAAGGGGGCAGCCCCGGTGGCGCAGTGGTTTAGTGCCGCCTGCAGCCCGGGCTGTGATCCTGGAGACGGGGGATCGAGTCCCACATCAGGGTCCTTGCATGGAGCCTGCTTCTCCCTCTGCCTGTGTCTCTGTCTCTCTCTCTGTGTGCGTGTGTGTCTCTCATGAATAAATAAATAAAATCTTTTAAAAAATAAAAATAAAAAAATAAAAGGAGAGGAAAGAGGGACACCTGGGGTAGCTCAGTGGTTGAGCATCTGCCTTTGGCTCAGGGCATGATCCTGTGTCCTTGGATCGAGTCCTGCATCAGGCTCCCTGTGAGGAGCCTGCTTCTCCTTCTATGTCTCTGCCTCTCTCTCTCTCTCTCCCCTGAATAAATAAAATCTTTAAAAACAAGGAAAAGAAAGTGTCTCACCAACTCTGACAGCTGTACGTTTCTTTACAACGTTAAAGGCACCACAAATGAGAACATTTTGATGCCCCTTGACAAGGGCTCAGGCTAGCTAGAGTGAAGCGTGTGCCACTGGGTGCCTTATGTGGGCAAACACAGAAGATGAGCGAGTTGATGCCGAGTGGCTCTTCCTGACCACATGTGGGCACCAAGCCACTTACCGTCCTCTAAGAGCTGGAAGACTACATTTCTCCCTATTCCAACTGGATAGAGGGGAAGTAAGATCACGGGTGTCAATCCTGAAGGTCCTAAGTCCTTTTGCCGTAAGATCTCTCCTAAGGATGTCATGGTATCTCACTGAATGATGAAACTGTTAAGAATGAATTACTTGTGACCTATTTATAGTTGCCTACTGGATATAAACATACAGAGCCACTTTGAAGATCCTTACTAGACCTTCTTGCAGCTGGCTAGAGAACACGGAAACCCTTGTAAGCAGCCCAATTATTGCTATACGCCAGAATTTAAAATACAGGGAGGGGGATGACTCAAATAAGCACAAGTGGCCTATTCAGACTTTATCTTTCTGTAAACTTCACTTTAGAGCATCTATGGGCTCACATTACACAGAAGCCAAATTCCTCTGAATGATTTTGTTTCTCAGTGTCAAACCAGCCACATCACCCTAATTTATTTACAGATGTCACAGGATGTGCCTATCACCTGTTTCAGAAGATACACACCTAAGAGTTTCCAGAGTCTGACTGGATTCTGGACTAGATGCTGTCTCAACAACAATCCAGTGAACCCTTCAAAGGTAGGGGTTAGCAGGCACAGCTGCAAACTCTGAAAAGAAACAAAAAACACAGAGGATGGATCACACTAATACCACACCAGAGCAATGTGGACCGAAAATCTTGAGTTTGTAGCAAAATCTCCTCTGAGAACTCAAATATTTATAATGTTTACATTGCCCTGATATATGATCTAAGCATTATTTCAAACTTTCAACATCAAAACAAAAGTGATGCAAGGAAGCCAGTCAAAGAAACATAGAAGGAAAGGCAGGGAGTGCAGGCTGCCATTCTGTACCCTGAGGATCACAGCTCCCTGGAAAGGCGAAGTGGAAGGGAGGGCCCGGAGCCCTTACACCTGACCTCTCCAGACAATGCTCCTTGCAGAACATTTTCAGGAACTATAGGGGGTTACTAGTCTGTCTTTCTGAAGTTCTACTTTTAAGATGAGCATTTTCCCACTTGATTGTGTTTTATGCCAAGGTCAATGATCCAATTTAATTTTTTTATCTCTTTGTTGGCACTTTCTTCATTTGTTTTATTTCTTTGTTTTTAATTTTTTCCTTAGCTCATCTCTGCCCTGCTATCAAGGAAAGTAATACCCCGGGGTGCCTGAGTGGCTCATTCGGTAAAGTGTCTGCCTTCAGCTCAGATCAGGATCCTGGGGTCCTGGGATGGAGCCCCAAATCGGGTTCCCTGCTCAGTGGGGAGGTTTCTCCCTATGCTCCCCGCTTGTGCTCGCTCTCACTCTAATAAAATATTAAAAAAAAAAAAGTAATATCCTGCTCAATGTTTTTGGGTAGCAAGCACATTCCATGTAATTTCCTGTTAGCAGCAGGAAGAACATTCATCATCTATAGTTATTGTCCCACTTAATTAAAACTACTACACCTGGCTCAGTGATGACTGAGTTCAGTAGTCCTATAAGGAGTAGACACAGAATGTAGACTGGGCCTAATAAACGAGTATCATGAATTTGAAAGATATAAAAATTTAAAAATTGTCATTCTCCAAAGTCTCCAAATTTGGATAATTATCATTATCCAAACAGTTTGTTTAACCCAGGTTACTTTAGTTTACTTCTATTACAGCCACTGATGAGAGAGCCTGCGGAGATTCCACAATATGTGAATTTCCTACTTCAGCCTTTCCTTTCATAGAATAAGCATGGGGTCAGACTAAAGACAATATTAATTATGATTTTCCTTTTCAATAGAACTAAAAGTAGAAAGAAAAAAAGTGTAATACATCTATACGTCCCTCAGGTTCAGGCTCGGGAGGAACAACCAGTGATCTACAATAGAACTATAATTCAAACGGGTCTTCAAGTTACGGTAAAAAGGAACAATAATAAATTATGACCTCAAGTATGTTAAGCTCCTAAGAAAGGACTGGAAGAAAAAGCAGCCAAAATGGCACTAGAGCTTGGGATCCTTGTTTCTAGATAGAGGTCACTTGAGCAGATCCTGAAGCACAGCCCTCACTTAAGAGTGCTCAATTAGGGGGATCCCTGGGTGGCTTAGCGGTTTGGCGCCTGCCTTTGGCCCAGGGCGCCATCCTGGAGTCCCGGGATCGAGTCCCGCGTCGGGCTCCCAGCATGGAGCCTGCTTCTCCCTCCTCCTGCGTCTCTGCCCCTCTCTCTCTCTCTCTATCATAATAAATAAATCTTTAAAAAAAAAAAAGAGTACTCAATTAATCCAGTTCCATAACGTCCTCCGCTAGGAGACAAACCTAAGACAGCTGAGGGAGATCTGCTCACACAAAACTGTCCTCCCACTTGAGCGATGGTTGGGTACCATCATCCTCACAACGTCTGTATGTGAGCCAATGGTCAAATAGTTCTCGGTCAAACTCTTACTGGATTCGGTTTTTAAACATTTTTTAAAACTTTATTTTTAAGTAATCTCTACAGCCCACGTGGATGGGGCTCGAACTCATAACCCAAGGATCTAGCCGCTTGCTCCACTGATTGGGCCAGGCATCCCTGGATTCAAATTGAAGACGCCAGGAAAATAAGCAAATGGGCAGAAAAAAAATCAATACACGAGAAAAGGGCTGGAAAGATGCAGGCTGGGGCCTGTGCCGGGTCTCTTCCAGGGCTGCCCTGGGGTGGGGGGAATGGGGGGACCCGCAGCTAGGTGCTGGCTGGGGGTGAGGAGCTGAGGGGTGAGAGAATGAAGGGTGAGGGGATGCAAGCGTGAGGGGATGAGGGGTAAGGGAATGAAGGGGTGAGGGGATGGGGGTGAGGGGTGAGAGGATGCCTGGGTGAGGGGATGGGGGTGAGGGGATGAGGGGTAAGGAAATGAAGGGGTGAGGAGATGGGGGTGAGGGGATGGGGGCTGAGGGGTGAGAGAATGAGGGGTGAGGGGATGCGTGGGTGAGGGGCTGAGGGGATGGGGTGAGGGAATGGGGGGCTGAGGGGTGAGAGAATGGGGGGGATGCGTGGGTGAGGGGTAAGGGAATGAAGGGATAAGGGAAGGAAGGCATGAGGGAATGAAGGGGTGAGGGGATGGGGGCTGAGGGGTGAGAGAATGAGGGTGAGGGGATGCCTGGCTGAGGGGCTGAGGGGATGGGGGTGAGGGGATGAGAGGTAAGGGGAATGAAGGGATGAGGGAATGAAGGGGTGAGGGGATGCGTGGGTGAGGGGCTGGGGGATGGGGTGAGGGGTAAGGGAGTGGAGGGGTGAGGGGATGCGTGGGTGAGGGGATGGGGGGGAGGTGAGGAGATGGGGGTGGTGAGGGGATGAGGGGTGAGGCTGCGGGAGGGCCCAGCAGCGTGTGGGGCAGGAATGGGCGGTCCTCGACCCCAGGTCGGCGGTTACCTGCTCGGCGTGGTCTCCGGTCCCCACGAGTCGGGTCGGAGGCCTGTGGACGAAGTGGAGGCACCTCCTTCCCGCCCCGGGGGAGAGGCCTAGGGTCCAGCCAGAGCAGGGGCCCCGCAGTCGCCCAGACCCCGCAGCAGGGCCCGGGCGAAGAGCGCGGAGCAGCAGGAGAGCGGCCGCCATGTTGGCCCGGAAGCGGCGCCTGCGCAGTGGAGGCCTCGCGAAAGGCGCCTGCGCAGTCGGGGCTGCCCGAGCCGGTTGCCCGCCGTCCAGCCGCTACCGCGCTCCGCCTGTGTTTCCTAGCCGCCTGCGAGGTGCAGCCAGGTCGCGGGGTCACGGGGCGGAGCGGGAGAGCCCGAGGAAACGAGCCCAGAGAGCCGGCGTCCAGACCCCGACCTCAGACTCCGACCCCCACCGGGGTCCGGGACCCCGGCCTCAGCCACCACCCGGGATCCAAACCCCGGACTCAACCCGGACCCCAGCCTCAGCCTCCACCGGGGATCCGGACCCCGACCATCTGGGGACCGGGGACCCTGGTCCATCTGTCCGTGTCTTGACCGCAGGGCTTCGCCCTTGCAAGTGCAGCGGTCGGGCCTGGGGTCCAGCCTGGGGCTTAGCAGAGGGAGGGTGGCCTGGAACCCTCGCGTGCCGGGGTCCTTGTCCTAAGAGTGTTTCCTTTCGGATAATCATGGTAACTAGTGACTTTCTGCCAGCGGCACGCCGAAGTCTGGAAGTGGTGCCCAGCCCCGGTGACTAGGATGGCAGCCTGGAGTCAGTGTGTCTGCGCCCCCGCCGCCTCTGCTCCACCTGTGCACCCTTTCCCTGCGGCCTGCGGCCTGAGGCCCAGCGCCTGAGGGCTCCGCCTTGACGCTGCTGACTGAGCTGCTGACTGCCAGCCGAAAAGCTCCTTTCCTAGAAAAATGAAAGGTTAGGTGGATGTTCCAGAGTAGGGTTATGGTAACGTTGTATTCCACAAATTCCTACAGGCATCTTAGTAAGAGCTGGTGCCCGGCTCCACAGCAGATACCTTTTTTAAGATTTTATTTGAGGGAGAAAGAGAGAGAGCGCGTGCGCAAGCAGGGCCTGGGTAGGGAGAGAGGGAGCAGCAGACTCCACCCCCACCCCACCCCCTCCTTAGCGGGAGAGATGGGACTGGATCCCAGGACCCTGGGGTTGTGACGTGAACCAAGGCAGACGCTTCACCAGGTGCCCCATATCAGGTACCCTTATAGTCACAACTCTGAGGTACTTTTTTTTTTTTTTGATTTATTTATTTATTTATTCATGAGAGAGGCAGAGACTTAGGCAGGAGAAGCAGGCTCTTTGAGGGGCCCCAATGTGGGACTCCATCCTGGATCACACCCTAAGCTAAAGGCAGACGCTCAACCACTGAGCCAGCCAGGTGTCCCCTCTGAGGTACTTTAATACTTATTTTATGGATGAGGACACAGCCTCAGAAATTAAAAGTAACGCATCAAGGGGCAGCCTGGGTGGCTCAGCGGTTTAGTAACGCATTGAAGGTCGCAGCTAAGAAGTGATGGCACAGAGTCTCTGAGCTGGTCTGACTGGTTTCTGGGCCTGCACCCTCCACCATGATTCCTTACGTCTTACACAAGTACTGTGATTTGTGTGTCCTTCCTTCCTTTGCTGCAGAAACTGGAAAAGTTTCGGGACATTTTTTACCGTCAGTAACCTGATCACGAGTGTTGAGCTCTTCAGTGGCTGGTGCTTTTGCAGAGGTGGTCACTGGAAGTTGGTTTGCAGAGAGAGTGGCCCCTAGGCCCCAGGCTGCCAGTGGCTCACACACCTGGACTCACTGCCTTTCCTCTGTTTCTCCTGTCCTCGTACCATCTTCCTCTTCTCCAGCCCCCCAGCCCCCTCCATACACTGCTGGTTAAGTCGTCCCATCCACTTTGTGCCTTCCAGCTAGAGCTGTCCTGCCCTCACTCTACCCAGACCAGTCCTGTGACTGTGACCAGACTTCCGAGAGCGTGGTTTCTTGCACCTTATCGAAGCTCGTGCAATGTGCCCTGACAGGAAACAGCCTAGCCCCCCATCCTCAGGCCTATGCCCTCATCATCCAGTCCAGAGGGTTTGTGATTCAAAGCCTCCTCGAGGAAATGTGAACATGTTTGGGAAGAGTGTAAGATACTATCCCACTAACACTTGAAGTAAAATTGTTACTGTGGTCTGACTTCTTGGCAACAACTCAGTTAGAAGCAGTGCAGTGGCAAAGGGCCAGCCTCTGGTGGAAGAACACTGGCTTCTGCCCTCAGCCTGTGACCTTGAGCAAGTTCCTGGGTTCCCAAGCCTCAATTTTCTTGACAGTAAAATGGGGTTATAATTATCTGCAAAATGAGGCTAATAGCAGCCTTGAGTTTCCCACGGGGCTGTCATAACAATAACATGCAATAAAAGAACCTGAGAACAGCCCATGAGGCCAGAACTCTTTTCATCCAGGACTTTCTTCCTGGGATGTCATGGCAAATGAGATTGTGGGAGAAGAGATTATGGATGCATTATTTAGATGCATCTAACAACTGTTCTGGAGCTTGGCTGTTTCCAGGCCCTCAGGTGACTCTGCATGTGCCCTGCTTCAGTCCCCTGGACAATAGGGATCTAGTTTAGGCCTCCAGGTGCCCTGTGACCCAGACCCTAGAAACATCAGGCCTAGGCAGGCTGGTTCACAGGACCTTCCTCAGCCCTCAGACCTCACCTCAGAGGCGTTCCCCGCCACCACATCCATCCCTGGCAAGATTTCTTCTTTCTCTGAACTCAGCGTACCTCAGGACAGTTCCATGTGGCTTCCCTTAACCATCTGCGGACATCTCCCCATGAACTTCGGGTTTGAGTCAGGGTGTGTCTAGGTATCTGTGTTGCTACCCTGATACCAGGTGTGTTTGGAAGCTAAGCGATCCAGAGGAGGTGCATGTGCTCGAGCCTGCACTATGGGAAGACCCCTGCCCACTCCCACCCCTGGGGTCCTGGCGCTCAGAATCCTGACAAGTCCTCCTTGTCTCTAAAGTAGGAATGAGGGATCCCTGGGTGGCGCAGCAGTTTGGCGCCTGCCTTTGGCCCAGGGCGCGATCCTGGAGACCCGGGATCGAGTCCCACGTCGGGCTCCCGGTGCATGGAGCCTGCTTCTCCCTCTGCCTGTTTCTCTGCCTCTCTCTCTCTCTCTGTGACTATCATAAAATAAATTAAAAAAAATTATAAAAAAAAATAAAGTAGGAATGACATGCTAGCAATTGACACAGGAGTTGATCTTTTGGGCCCTTTTTGGTTTTAATGTCTATATTTTCTTTCTTTTTTAAAGGGTTTATTTATTTATTCATGAGAGACAGAGAGAGGCAGAGACACAGGCAGAGGGAGAAGCAGGCTCCATGCAGGGAGCCCAATGCAGGACTCGATCCTGGGTATCCAGGATCACACCCTGGGCCAAAGGCAGGCGCTAAACTGCTGAGCCACCCAGGGATCCCCCAGCAACTAAATTTCTAAACTCTTTTCTTTTCTCAAGCACAGTTGCTTCCACACTTAGCCTGTGTTTTGAGGGCCTCAGGTGGCTGTGCCATGTAATTGTTGCTTCCGTAATCCTGCCGGGCAGCTAGCTCATCCTGCTGAGGCCACGTCGCATAGCTTGGAAGGACCTGATCCACAATGAGGTAGTTGGCTAATATTAGGACATCTTCTATAAGATATACTCCCTTATAGGACGTCTCAGTAAATTCATTCATTTCTTTGAATTTGGGTAAATTTTGTTTCTGAACTAGAGATCTTTCTTAGGAAATTATTTTTTCTCATATCACTTGTTAGCTGGCTTTCAGTCATCATATGTACAAGATTTTGTAATCATAGATTTTGTTCTTGAAAGGATAAAAAGTCCATTTCTACTAGCAAAATCCTGTACAGAAATTTGTGTGTGACTAAATGTCTATATCGTCAGTGTTTCTCAAGACAGCTGTGTGTGATTTTTTTAAAAAGATTTTACTTATTTATTCATGAGACACACACACACATACACACACACACACACACACAGAGGCAGAGACACAGGCAGAGGGAGAAGCAGGCTCCACACAGAAGCCCGATGTGGAACTCGATCCCGGGACTCCACGATCATGCCCTGGGCGGAAGGCAGACGCCAAACCACTGAGCCACCCAGGGATTCCCAATGTGTGTGAGATTTTTGACTGATGTCCAGGGGGCACCCCGAAAGGGCAGGGGCTGCTTCTCTACATATCATTAACTCCCATAGCTCTGGAGAGCACATACCAAGTTCATTCATTTAATCTGTTCTGTTGATAGTATCAGCTATCTGTTGATATGGAGCAAATGACCCTAACACTTGGCAAGTTAAAACAATATTCATTGTGTCGCGCAGTTTTCTGAATCGGGAATCTGGGTGTGGTTGACCAGGTGGCTCAGGCTCAGTTTTCCTCAGTTCATCAATGGCTGGGGCTGCAGTCATTTGAAGCTTTCCTGGTGCTAGTGGCTGGGTTTCCAAGGTGATGCCTTCGCCTGGCTATTGGCGGGAGATGTCAGCTCCTCACCACATGGAGTCTCAATGGGGTTTCTCAGGTGACATGGTACCTTTTGGCAGAAACAGCTCAAGAGTGTGGATACCAGGGGGAAGGGGTCATTGAGGGTTTCCTTGGAGGCTACACAGTGATGATTACGGAAGATGTCAGTTGTTCACATCTGCTTAGCAAAACCCAACCCTCGGATCCTGACTCTCCCTGGTCACATGACCCCAGACGTTCCTAGTGCTGCATTCATCCCAAAATTAATTGGTTCAGAAACAGAGTCAGCCTATGAGGTCCTTCCTTAGAGCTTCTATTTGAAGGTGAAGAAGGGACTCTGCCCCAGGCTGTGCCCTGCACAGGATGGCTGGTGGGGACCCCAGCCCCTGACCGCTGCCCCATGCCAGGGTACCCTGGGAGGAGGAGCTGGACTTCTCGCCTGTCCTGCATCCCCTCTTGCATCCCCTCTTCCCACTGCCCTCAAAGAGTTTCTCTTCCAAGAAGAAACTCTATTTCTCTTTCTCTATCTCTCCATCTCCGTTGTGTCTCTGGAGTCTTCTGTGGGTCTACACAGCAGCCTCTCCGATTGTCTCTCTATCTCTCTCTTATTGTGCTTTCTGATATCTCTCCACGTCTCAGTTTCTGTCTCTGGGCTTTCTCAGTATCTCTGTGCCA